AGAGATCACAAGTAGGCAGAGAGGCAGGCAGAGAGAGAGAGAGGAGGAAGCAGGCTCCCTGCTGAGCAGAGAGCCGGATGAGAGGCTCAATCCCAGGACCCTGGGATCATGAGTGAGTCGAAGGCAGAAGCTTTAACCCACTGAGCCACCCAGGAGTCCCTTAGCTGAGTCTTTCTAAACTGTCAATGTAGGGATCCAATTCACTTTTCCCTGTCCCCAAAATTTTATGAGAATCTCTTTCATCACTGTTCTGTAAAGTTACCTGTGTCAGAAGCCAACTTTGCATATATGCAAGGGTCTTTTTCTGGGCTGTTTCATAGTCTATTTGTCTATCTCTGTGCAAATGATCCTGTTTTAATTATATAATTTTCCAAGTTTTGATATATAGTAAAATAAGTTCTCCATTAGCAGTGTCTTTGCTTTTTGGTCCTTTGTTCTTTCATATAAATTTTAAAATGAATTTGTCAAACTTATGAAGAACTCTTGCTGAGTTTCTGATATAAATTGTCTTGAATCTATAAATAAATTCAGGCAGAATTAACATCGTTATGACACTGACTCTGTGAGTATGGAAAAGCTTTCTATATATTTTGGTCCTCTCAAATGTCTCCTAATAAATTCAAAAGTTTTCTCCATAAAGATCTTGTATATTTTTAAATTTATTCCTAATACTTCATATTTTTTATTTCTATGATAAATAGTATCTCTTTTAAAAATCAGATTTTCTAACCAATTTGTGCTGCTCTATAGACATGTAATTGAATTTTGTTTATAAATTTTATATCCAGCAACCATGCTAAACTCACTTATTAATTCTAATAACTGACATGTAAATGCTGGATTTTCTATATGCACAGCTTTAACATCTGTAATAATGAGTTTTGCTTCCTCCTTTCACTCCTTAGGTAAAAATAAAAGCATCTTTGTCTTATTTCCAAATTCAAAGGGAAAGTTTTCTATGTTTTATCATTAAGTATGGTACCTTGTTGTAGGTTTGGTTTTTCGTTTTTGTTAATAGATATCCTAGATCAGGTAAACAAAGTTCCCTTCCATTGCTACTTTATCTAAAATTTGTTTTATTACAAATGCTTTTTAGATTTTATCAAGTCCTTTTCCAAATCTATCGAGATGTCTTGTAATTTTTCTCCTTTAATCTGTTTAAGTAATTTGCACCACATGATCGATTTTTTAGAATGTGTTAAACCGGGGCGCCTGGGTGGCTCAGTGGGTTGAGCTGCTGCCTTCGGCTCAGGTCATGATCTCAGGGTCCTGGGATCGAGTCCCACATCGGGCTCTCTGCTCAGCAGGGAGCCTGCTTCCCTCTCTCTCTCTGCCTGCCTCTCTGTCTACTTGTGATCTCTCTCTGTCAAATAAATAAATAAAATATTAAAAAAAAAAAAGAATGTGTTAAACCCTACTTGGTCATGGAATAACCCATTTCAATTTCATGGAATATTCCTATTTCTTCTAAGTTTTCAAGTATATTAGCATAAAGTTATTCACAATGTTCTCATATTTGCAATGTTGGCATTTGCAACTGTATCGCCTTCTTCACACTTAATCATTCACCTTTTAAAACATAATGAAGTAAATCTTCCAGTTATCTTAGGCTTTGGTTTGTAGTTAGAACAGAGTTAGTATTTATTACCTTTCTGTTCTGTTCTCTCATCCTCAAGTTCTTTCTTAGGAGTTTTAGGTTTTATTAATTCTTTGTCCCAGGCAGCCAAAGCTTGTTTTTCCATTTGACGGATTTCTGCTTCCTCTGCATCCAAACGTCGCTTCCACTCAAGCAGCTCCTCTGCATGTTGGCGCCGTTGCATTAGTTTTTGCTCTCGTTTTGTCAGAAACCTATGGTCACACCATGAAAAACAGTGAGAGAACAAATCTACGGACAGAAATCACTCTGAGAGCTCTACCACTCATGGCCTTATGAACAATCTGTGTAAAACAGGACATCCATACTACTCCTTTCAAAAACTTTGAAATAACAGAAGCTTTGATGATGAGTCAACATATTCAGAAAACAAAAGAATTTATGTTTTACTTGTAACTGTTTGTAAAGACAAATTCAGAAAAGAAAATCTTCAGAATATCTGGACAGCCGTGGCTGATAAACCGTAACTTACATATTCACTTCTCATAGGTGATTCTTTTCATAACAGAAGATAAAAGGATTTTATTCTAAAGGTTCAGACAAGAAACACAAAATCCAAACCCAAAACAACAAAGACCAAAACAACAAGAAAAACAAATCTCAAAGCCCCAAACAAGCAAGCAAACAAAAAAGACATGTTCATGTCCCTTTCTGACTTTTACTTTCAAATTCAGTCTAGTTTCATTTCAGGTATCACTACACCACTCTTTGGTTCCCACTGCCTGAGAGATGCAATGTGAGGTGATAATTTTGGAGAGAACACTGAGCACCACAGTCAGAGGCCTTATGCATATAAACCTAACTAATTATTTACTTAGGTAAGAGGATGCAACAAATGCCTCAAATTTCTCAGTGTAACCCAATGGCTGAAATTAAATAGCCCAATATATCTTAGCTGCAAAGGGTTCAGAGAAATTACTGATTTAGGAAAAAGTTATCTAAGTAGTTAAAAAGCTACTACTAAACTCTCCTCATTTATAGATGCCAAAGATAATTAAAAGGTGGGCTGCTCCTATTACTGGTCTTAGATCTGTGCTGGTGGCTAATCAACAAAAATGCATTCACACATCTAACAAACACTTAATAAAAGGCACAAAAACTGTCATTCCACTTCTTGAACAATCAGCATATCAAATTAATGTGGAAACAAAGATAATCTATGGGACATTTGACAAGAGGCCCCAGGTTGTTAAGAAAAAAAAAAAAGAAGAAAAGCAATCAAAACAAACAAAAAGAACAGAGCATGCTCTATCAAAGAGTGCACTGAAAAAGGTGCAAAGTTACCTGACCAACTGGTTGTAGATATACAGCTGGAATTTGGGATGAAGGTTGGGAAAACAGACACTGAGAGAGGCCCAGTGGTGAGACGTAAAGACAGAGAAGAAGTAGTGAACAGGAGAGCAGTGTCTACAAAATAAGGAGGAAGATTTTAAAACCAAGAGATCAAGAGGCAGAAAGAATGAGAAAGGGAAAGCAAAAGGGCTGAGTGGAGAACTTTTAATACGCTTCCTGAATAACATTATACGCTACTCAGTTAAAGCGAGTGTTATGCTCTATGTGACATATAAAACATGTATGACTATAGATCTTACCGACGATTTCTGAATAAACATGCCTTTCTTCTCAGATGTTGCTTAACCATCATCTATAGTTTCAGGCAGATTTGCTTGTATGTGAGTAAAGTTATGAGAAGTACAATATAGAGCTAAATAAGCTTTCCCATAAGCTTTAACATAGACTACAACAATTATGGCTGTGAACCTAGTACATCCGCAATTCTATACATGTATATCATCCTGAGCAAATGATTTCTATATCCATACCTGGTCATATATTTTAAGTCTGAAGTTAAATAAAAAGCACTATGTTTGCTTTACCTAGCCTTTACCATCATGATCTAGCTTGAAAATAATAATTTAGAAAATAAATTTAGAGTTAAAAACACCTTGTTCACCTCTACAGCATGAAATTTATTGCCCATAGGACCTACCGAAGGTATCTTGCTTTATATTTACAAAGGCCCACTTTAATAAGATTGAAATACAATATCCAGTCTATAAAATATTAGAATGCATAATTAAGAATAAACTAAACTAGTCATAATAAATACTCCTGGTTTAAAAAAAAATCATGCTATGGACAGCTCAAGCATAAGGTTAAAAGAAGAAAATTTCACATGCTAAAAGTTATAAGTAGAAAATTCTCTTCTTCTTAAATAGTAAATCGACCATTTATTTATATATATAAGTATATATATTTGAGAGGATAAATACGTCTACTAATAGTTTGAAAGGTTAGTTCTCTTTGACAGAGCACGCTCCTGTTCACATGCACACAACAATAACCTGTAGATCAAGGCAACATTTTTTGCCTTGGAAGGGCAAGGAATATCATTATGTCAAAGAAGTGAGAAAATCTAGGTATAAATCCATCTATTCATTTGGATTTTAAAAAGTTTATACAATCTTGCCTAAACATGTATCTTTAGATACACAGACTACTTCAACGTCTGTTTCCCCATATACAACTGAATATTTCACCTCCCCTTCATTTACTTATATACACACACTCACACATACATACACATTCATATTTGGATTGCCTTGATTTTCTGCACTGAAGTTCAAGGAAAAACAGTTTTGCCAAATTTTAGTAAGACACTGCAATCTTCCTTGCCATTCTTTATGAATGTATAACAAACTTATTTTGATGCTAATTATCAAAATACTACACAAAAACAAAGGTACTTGGCAAAAGGTCCAAAAAATCTATTCATAATATTCAAATATCACCCACCCTCTTAAGTATAGAACTGCTAAATGCATGCATGACCTAGTACAAAAAGTAGAATAGTATTGGAACATGTGAAATAAACTGTAAAAAATATTACAATTTAAATTTATCCAGCCCAATATAGAGACTATTAATTTTCTCTACCAGAACAAGTACTGACCATTTATTTTTCATTTGTAAGGATTAAGCATATTCAAAAGCTAAGTTAGAAACGAACAACAACAAAAAATAGCTAACAGAAAAAGGAAAGAAAATAGGTTAAGAAATAGTGTGAGAAAAGTTCAACTTAAAGTTAAAACTTCTTTCCAGAAACACACCTTCCTTATTTATATATATTCTAGAAATAAATAAAATAAAGTTGAAATAAAAGCAGCAGTACTTCACACTGGAGTTAACAATCCTTCAAGATGCTGCAGAAATAAAATTGGTGAATGATAGAGAAATAAATGCCTACTAACAGAAAACACTGCTAACAGTGTTTCTTCTACTGGTAACAGAACACTGGACTGGGGTAGGAGTAGACATAATAGATTTAATCTAGTATGTAAATCACTGTGTTCTTACAATGTTTAATCTTATGAAATTCATGAGTAATTAGTTTTCTTTTTAAAAAATTTGAGAGAGAAAGAGAGAGTGAGAGCACGTGTGCGCAGGGGGAGGAGCACAGGGAGAGGGACAAGCAGACTCTGCTGAGCACAGGGGCCAATGCAGGGCTCAATCTCACCATCCTGAGAGCATAACCAAAACCAAAACCAAAAGTCAGACGCTTAACTGACAGAGCCACCCAGCCAGCCCTGGTTCTCTTTTAAAGTCACACTTTCATACTCTAAACTTGAGCTGTGCAACTATTCAAGCCCAGTAATCAGTTACTCAACACTTTTCCAATTTGAACAGATCCTATTAAGTCATCACTGTAGTTTAAAAAAAAACCAAAACTATGAGTTTATAACAGTCTTGTACCCCTGAAACAATAATGTTATATGTTAATTAAAAAAACAAACAAACAACTATGAGGTTGAAAGCCAATATGCTAACTTAACTCAACTTCAACTTTGGCTGGCTTATGTCCCGAGAGCAGGACCCTAGTTCTGGTTGTGTGTATGACCTGGGATGAGTTACTTATCTCCATGGCCTCAATTTCTTCCTGTGAAACCAAGGGACTACACTAGATGACTTCTCTAAAAGCTCTTTTAGGTCCAACAGTTTATAATGCCTTCTTTCTCCATTCAAGTAGCTCCTCACGCTTTTTTTAAGTTCTTCAGAACACTGCTAGACCATGTGACATAAATGAGAACTTTTTTTTTCCATTGAGTTAGTATAATTGTAGATTGTGTTCCAACATTATTATAAAAACCATGCTATCATTTGAAGGAGCAAAATTATGATGTAAATTTTAAATGAAATTTTGAGGTGTAAAATAATTTGCCTCTGAAAGACATTAAACAAAAGAAAAACCTAACACTTTAAATCATTCTAAAATTCTTTCTGGACCAAAAATTAAATCTATTATTATGATAAATAAAAACAAAACATAGTTTTATCTCAGGGACATGAGATTGAGACCCATTTTGGGCTCTAAGCTTAGGAGGGAATCTTCTTGAGATTCTCTCCCTCTGCCCCTCCCTCTACTTGCATGTCTGCACACACATGCAGGCACTCTTTGTAAAAAATAAATAAATCTTTTAAAAAGAAGATGTCTTGCAATTTTTCCGAAACAAAATTTATTCTATTACTTAAAATTGTCTAATAATTTGCTTATATTTAAAATACATAATAATTTGAATAAATTTAAACAAAATCCTAACCTAGGAACTAAAGAAAATAAAAATCATTATCAGGTTATTAGGATTTATTCAGCTACCACACTTAGACTAGAACCTTCTAAGAAATTATAGTTCTAATTTAAGGCAGGAGTGCCTGGATGGCTCAGTCATTAAGCATCCAACTCTTGATCTCCACTAGGTCTTGAGCTCAGGGTCACCAGTTCAAGCCCCATTTTGGGCTCCATACTAGGCATGGAGCCTACTAAAACAAAACAACCCCCCCCCCCAAAAAAAACAGGCAAATTTTAATTTAAGGCAAGAGTATTTAGTACATTTTTTAAAAAATGTATTTATTTGACAGAGAGAGAGAGAGATCACAAGTAGGCAGAGAGGCAGGCAGAGAGAGGGAGAAGCAGGCTCCCTGCTGAGCAGAGAGCCCGATGTAGGGCTTGATCCCAGGACCCTGAGATCATGACCTGAGCCGAAGGCAGAGGCTTAACCGACTGAGCCACCCAGGCGCCCCTACATTTTTTAAAATTCTAACGAAAATGTCTTCTTTAGTGGAACATCAAAAGTGTTCCTCTGCAAATCCTTAACTTTTTAAACTCAAATTAATGAAGATTTTAATACTGACCAGACAATACCACAAATATTGTTAGACAGAGCTATGTCATACAATATCTGTTTAACTTTATGATTATTTAAAACCAAATAAATTAATCTGTTCATTTAGTGGTTTCTAAACTAACTGGGAATATTTTTAAATATTTAAATTTTAAGTAAATAAAATACTTAAATATTTAAAATGAAAGTGTGAAAAGTTTTGTGACTTCATTTTTCCATGCTAACTTGGTCTGCAATGATCAAACCAAAATATAACTTATGTGTGTGGGATTTTTTTTGTTGTTGTTTCTTCTTATGCTATAAAGTACTTACTAATTCAAATGTATATCTAACTTAGAACACTCATCCATTGAAAACTGACTTGAAATACTCTTTTCAGTAAAAATTTCTTCCTCTTCTGAACTTCCTTAGCAATTAATTTATATATACTTCTCTACAGGATTGATATTTTCTCTTTTTACCACCTAGAGCATATGCTTTTTAAGAGCGAGGTTTATGTTTGATTCACCTTCGTATCTCTCAGAACCTAATATACTCACACATTTCCCAGTAAATAATTGCTAAGAATAAGTATATATTTAATAATATGGAAGATCAGCTGCTATTCAATAAAAGAGAAAATGCACTGTGTCCTATTTTAACCCTTGAAGATAACCCCACCCTTTCTGTGTTTCATTTGCCCAGTAAAATATTTTCTTGAAACAGAACTGGCAAATTAACAGAAAAAGTCAATTGCACAGTGTTTTCTTCATGAATACATGTTTCAGGATTATAAAAAATGCACCTATATTATAAATAATGCCCCTCACCATAACAAATAAAATTCAGATTTCATTTGTCAACAGTACCAAAAAGATAGGGCTATTCAGTCTATGGCTTTTGCAAATATATATTCATTATGACTAATCTTTTTCACAACTTAAACTTCTTCTCTTTTAAAGATTTTATTTATTTATTTGACAGAGACACAGCGAGAGAGGGACCACAAGCAGGGGGAGTGGGAGAGGGAGAAGCAGGCTTCCCACTAAGCAGGGAGCCTGATGCAGGGCTTGATCCCAGGACCCCCGGATCACAACCTGAGCCAAAGGCAGATGCCTAATGACTGAGCACCCCACAGGCGCCCCACAACTTCAATTTCTTTTGCTTTTCACTACAGTGAGAAAAGGAAATTATTTACAGATGTCAGACCAATAAAAAGGTCAGGAAAAGCCACAGATCAGAAATACAAACTTAACAAAGGCATTGCTGTCTCAATGAAACATTAAAAAAGGAAATCTTTCACTGTAGCCAAGAAAAGTTTGATAGTTTCAGAAAAATATTTGTCACAGAATTAGAGTTCAGAGGGTTAACAATAAGCAATAACATACAATGAAAAAGTTCTTCCCCAAAGTTAGCTAACCTTCCTGAGGGAGGACTGCTTTCTGACAGGTGTTTTCTATCAATAAAATAGTAATCTCTTGGATGACTGCTTTTGCAAATCTGCACAACAAATAATAGTGTCTACTACCAAAGGTTCAAATGATTTTGTTTTTAGGTATCTACTGTAGCAAATGACTATAAAATTAACTCTATTTACTGACATTTATTTACTGACATTCCAATATAATTGAAGGAAATCTAATTGTGAAGTTTTGGTGATCTGAATGGTATTTAAAAACCAGTTTTCACAATGTTTTGTTCTAGACATTAAAAAGTATCACGTAACAATACTCTAACTTTATAGTGCATCGCTAATTTTGAAAAATACTCCAGTTTATCCTCAAATTCCAGCACCATCATAAAACATTAAAAATAATTCCTTTGCCACTGCTGTCCCCACCCCATCCCAACCCACAGACACAACTGCATTGCTTCAAACAACAAATCAAGTCACTGAATACTTCAAAGCCCATTTCTTTGATAAATTGCTTAAATGGTTCCTGTAGTAGCTGACAAAGGAAGGTAGAACAATAATACAAAAATCCCATGTGTTTAATATTTCAGATTCTGAGAAAATAATTAATAAAAGTTGGAACACAATCAATACATGTAAGTCAATTTGTTATTTAGAATTTTTAAAGCTTTAACCAAATCTGAAATGAGCACCACGTAAACTGACTAAACTCATAAACAGATTCAGGATTGGCAGTTTCTTCTACAAATGTGATTAAAATTACCAGAATATTATTCATAAAGACCAGCAATGAAGACTTTACTTGATGAGCAAGGGATCAACAAAGAAATTACCCTTGAAGTGGTCTTTCCTCCAATATTTACCATTCAAAGACATTTGGAGGCATATATAAAATGTCAAGTCAGTTATAAAAATTCACAAGAGATTATTCTGAATTCAAACATCCATGAAGCAAAACAGTATGACTATACAGACTATGGGGAAATTTTATCAGGAAAGGAAGAAAGCATCTTTAGTCTACATTTCAATAAATTCCTATATGAAAAAGCCTTATTTAGTTTATCCCATGAAATCACCCAAAAGGAATATTTACATGTTTATAAATATTTGGTTTTACCCCCTTGTATTTATTTTAAAAATTTGTATTTATTCTTTAAAACTTATTTTCATAACAAATTTAGGTATTTTAAAGTCATGAAATGCAATTTAACTAAGCAATGAAGGGCCAATGTATAACACTGTACCTACAGTAAGTAAGGCCTGATTTACAACTGCTTGATTGTTCAGAAACTAATTAAACCATAAGTTAATGTCACATAAATATAGAGCATTATTAAATATGATAATGTGTGACAAAGGATATCACACTACAACTGGGGTTCAAACTGTTAACAAAATAAAATAGCAGTCAACAAAAAATTTTAATGGTTTTCTAGGGGCTCCTGGGTGGCTCAGTCATTAAGCGTCTGCCTTCGGCTCAGGTCATGATCCCAGGGTCCTGGGATCGAGCCCTGCATCCAGCTCCCCGTTCAGCAGAAAACCTGCTTTCTCCCACTCCCACTCCCCTGCTAGTTTTCCCTCTCCTGCTGTGTCTCTTTCTGTCAAATAAATAAGTAAAATCTTCAAAAAAATTTTTTTAATTTAAAAAATTTTTTCATTAACATATAATGTATTATTTGCCCCAGGGGTACAGGTCTGTGACTCCTCAGGCTTACACATTTCACAGCACTCACCACAGCACATACCCTCACCCCCCCATTTTTTTAATGGGTCTTTCATACTTAAAGAAGGTAATGGTTATAAAGTCAAGGATAGGGTTCACGAGCAGATACTTCACAAGCATATTCAATAAAATGTATACTCAGAAGAGTAAACTCTCACATAAATGTAACTTTATATGGTCAACATTGACATAAAACTGAGCTACATTTAAGTAGAAGTAGCTTTCTTTAAAGGAGCCTCTAAAAAAATAATACTTAGAAATGTTTTAGAAGAATGGTTGGCCACCAAATCATTTAACATCCTAGGAGAATTTCAGTTTTTCTGGTTTCAAATGAGCAATCCACACCTACTTATAGATTAAAACTTCTATTTCACCTAAGATTGAGAGTGGTCAGAGAGCCACAAGATGATATCTCAGGATATACCACTAACTGTTTCCCCAAGTCAGTAGACATATTCTCAGATCTCAGAGAAGGTATCAATTTCACACTTACTTTAGCTTTTAATAAAAGAAAGATGGAAACATTGTCTTGGGTATATGTGCCATTACTATGTTGGTTTTTAAAGTAAGAAACCTGACTGTATTAAAAATAAGAAAATTTGTTTTATAATAAGATCTATAGTTAACTGACTTCCAGATTGATTTAACAATTTTGTTAAAATGCTACTGAATTCATAAAATATTACATTGTATCAGTCTAATCTAATGAAGTACATTAAAAATATTTGTTGCTATAATATTCAACATGAACAGGAGATATTTATTTTAAAAAATTACTTTTCATCCATGCGGCTTCTCATTTTTTTCAATTTCTGCATAATGCTGCTAGTTTCACTGCTGGAAATTGAAATGGGGGAAGGACTACGGGTCTCCAAGTCAGTTGGGCCAGGACTGGTTGCCTTATTATCCTTTGTATCATCATCACTATGAGAGTCCTGCAAATAAAAGAGGGTAAAATTTTATAATTTTCTGGAATTTAAGATCTAAAAATAACTTTAAACATTGTTGTTTCAAAATTAAATTTATCCTCAAGACCATATTTGTAAAATAGATGCAATTAAGGAATTACTTAAAAGATAAAGTTATATCACACATTTAAAAATGGCTAAAATACAGATTTTGTTAAATATATATTACATATATTTATATACAATCACAAAGTTATCATTTCTTTTTTTATTTTATTTATTTATTTGAGAGAGAGAGAACACAAGCAGGGGGCGGGGAGCAAAGGGAGCGGGAGAAGCCGACTCCCTGCTGAGCAGGGAGCCTGACTCAGGGCTTGATCCCAGGATGCCAGGATCACCACTGAGCCAAAGGCAGACACTTAACTGACTGAGCCACCCAGATGCCCCCTCAAAGTATAATTTGTTTAAAAGACTGAAAAAAATAAAAAAATCTTCTGCTACTAGCAATCTAGTATTTGACTATCCTAATTTCTTTTAAATTGAACCACTCAAAAGGAATATAAACACCATACACACACACACACACACACACACACACACACGTACAGATACAAGAATGAAGGGAACACATAAACTTATTTAAATAATACTGAGGGATGGATCTTTTTTCTTTCCAATTCTAATGGGGAAAACAGTATTTTCTCAAGTTAAAAGGTTGAATGAAAACATTCAGAACTATTGGTTTAATTGCCATATTGTTTCTCATGAGCAAAAAATAACATTAAATGCTTAATGTTACTGCTTAACATTAATGCTTGTCTTTCCCACAAATAGTCATTTAGTCTCATAACTTTTCAGGAAGATGAGTAGGGACAATCATGACCATTTTTATTTTGTGAACAATACACATAGCAGAGGTCTTCTCCTTCCCTTTCTGCCTCCTAAATGATTCAATCCTAAAGGCATTAGATGGAACAGAGCAAGGGAGGGGAGGTCCACGCAAAGGCAGAGGTGGACAAGGGGACCAAAAGTGGTGTGTTCCCACTGAAGTGAGATGAAGAGGGCATCTAGTACAGGAGGGTTATTATTCAAGGGGAACAATGAGGATGTCCGCAGGGGAGTGGTTCTACATGGCATGTCACAAGTCCAAACAGAGTGAGGTGGCATTCCCAGAGAGTACAGAAAGGGTAAAGAGAGTACCGAAAAAGGTAAAGGAGATGGCAGAATAGCTTAATTTGGGAATCAGAAACCAGGGGCGGTGAGGATATCCACATGAGGAAAGGGGTGGCAGTGGTTATGGGAGATGGGTTACACAGAAGAATGACCACATCATTATTTATATTAAGGGAGATGTTAACCAGTTGTCTATCAGAGATGGAAGTTTCAAAAAAGAGAAAACGAGGGGGTAGGGGGATGGGGTAACTGGGTAACAGGTATTAAGGAGGGCACATGATCTGATGAGCACTGGGTGTTATACACAACTAGCGAATCACTGAACACTACATAAAAAACTAATGATATGTTTGCTAATTGAACTTAAAAAAAAAAAGGAGAGAAAACTAGAATGGAACTTACGGTGCTGGACTGGAACTGGAAGGATGGGTATGAACTCATAATATTACATACTGTATGTATATGAAATAAACATACATGCAAAATGAATTTTTTATTACATCTACATAAACATATATATTTTCTACATTTGTTGCTCTTAGGAGGACCAAAACCCTAAGAGTAATGAGCATGCTTAGCACCTGATCTTGGTTTCTGAATAACTTTCCTCCTTAGAGAACAGCTGATTCCAAGTCTGGGGCAGGGAAGGTACGAGATGACCCTGAGATGTCTTTTTGCAGAAAACATGGAAATGCCTCAAAGACTGACGGAGACATGTCAAAAGCACACAGAAACTTGAAAAGGCTCCTAATGGTCTGACTTGGGACAAAGCGAGCACCAAAAAAATGATAGTAACAGATTTAACACTAAATAAAACAGGAATCTATAAGTCCATACTAACATAAATGAAAGAGTAAGTTTAATGAAGAATAGAAACTTACATATGTAGTCCCAAAATAACTCATGCAAAGTAATTATTATTTACAAAGGGAAAGAAAGTAACTTTATAGTGAAGTCTGACAGTCACCACCTTAATCAACATCATCAATAATGGGATAAATCAAAATAGGGCACCACCTGATTGGATGCAGTGAGAATATAGCATCACATCTGTGATACTCCAGCTAAAATGCACAATCTGAACTTAATTATGAGGAAATATCAGATAAATCCAAGTTGACAAACATTCTACAAAATAACTGGCATGCAATCTTCCAAAGTATCAAGATCATGAGAGTCAAGTAACTTTTCCAGACTGAAGGAGACTAGAGAGATACGAGAACTAAATGCAATATGCGATTGTGAACTTACCTTCTGATAAAAGCACATTATTGTGACAACTGGAGAACTGTCACACTCTCAACTCAGGAAGATAGAGTTCTTTGTACAGTGTTGGAAATTTTCTATAAATTTGAGATTGTTTCAAAATTTAAGTTGTATTTTAAAAATCAAGGCAGAAAATGCCAAGATTTATTTAACTGTACAACTATCCAGTGTGGGTTCTCTAACACTACACTGACACTTTACAGTATCTCAGAATAGATCCAAATTTTGCTTTTATCTGAATACCTCCTTTGACTCTTATATCATATTAATACTGTATAGCTAAAATTAAATACTAAAAGCAAAAACAGTCTCTCTCATTAATTATCAGGAATATATCTGGATTGACAAGCAAAAACAAGGCTCTCTGTCCCAAATGAGTTTATAAATGGAAAACATTTTTTCAGCTATTATATGAACCATGTGTCCCTTTCAAAACTTGAATATTCTGTGGGAAAAAAAAAATTAAAACTCTCACTATACATAAAGGCATATACATAGAACTTTATTCTAGTTCACCTATCAACTATCACAGTCCTGGGATGAACATATCCATCAGATGAGAAAAGTGAGGCAGAATTAGGCATTAGCAAGCAACATGAGGCAGAAAATGAATAGTAATTGTGTGTAATTTACCAATTTATTCTCTCCTGCCGACTTTAACTTCTCCTGTAACTTTATGGTGGTCTGTCGGATCCTTTCTATCTCCTCCTGCTGTTTCAGAATCAGTTGTCTTTCCTTCCGAGCTGCCTTATTGGCTTCTTGAAGACGTTTAATTTCTGCCTAAGGTTTAAAGAATTAGGAGAGTGGCTGAGATCTGGAGGATACAAGTTCCAAGGTATCATTTTAAGAAAGCCCAATCATCACATACATCAAAAAAAAAATAAATAAATAAAGTATTCAAAATAAAATAGTATCGAAAAATTCTGAAGTACTGAAGGAGGAAAAGTCTCATAACCCCAACATGTTAAAATAATTTAACATGATCCCTTAATTTAAATAATTATAATTACAATAGACTGATAATTTTCTATCCCCTTTTAAACTTAAGATACTTCATATTTTTCACATTTTTCCATAGTGCTACTTGGTCTTTACACTTATTTAATAGTTGTGTAACAAGTAGTTAATATAACAATTATTACTGGTTAGATGAACAAATCAAAGAGGATAAACCCTATGATGGCCCTTAAAATCACTTAAAGATTGCTTTAAAAAAAGAATGGTCTCCACCAGAAACATTTAAGACTATACTGCACCAAAGGGTATTGCTAAGTTTTCTGTCACTTATTAAGCAAAAGACGATATACTTCACAGTTAATAATTGTTAAAATTTAAGAGACTGTCCCTTTTTTTCATAAATTTATTTTAATCTGTGTTCCTGTCAATAATGTAAGCTTAATAAAGACAGTAAAAATTAGCGACTTATATTTTAGTCATGTTTGATTTTTGTAAACTATTTGAAAATGCAGAGAAGTGCACAAAAATACCTAATTTCTAAAATCTCATACTAGTACAATAATTGTTAATACTGTCATATTTTATCCTAGTTTTTATTTTGTGAAGAAATAAAACATTACAGATAAAACCAGTATGCAATCTCATATCCTCAGAGGTAACCACTACCATGGTATATATCCTTCCAGCACATTCTTTTAAAATTCTTCTACAGTTATTTGTACTTAACCTGCAAAAAACAAACTGTTTGGTTTGTATGTTTTTAAGTATTTTATAAATAATATCACACACATATATTTTCAACCTTGCCTTATTTACTGGACATTGCTCTTGACACATCTCTGTGTTGACTTACATCTAACTGTTGCATAACATTAGAGGCATAGAATATTTCATGTATCCATTACCCCTACGTGTGGATAAAGTTGTTGTTGGTCATTATTCCAAACAATGCTACAATGAACAACTTATAGTTTTTGTCTTGGCACATGTATGATTTTCTCTAGAGCAGCAGTTCTTGAAGAGTGGACCATGGACACTAGAGGATTCCCAAGGTCCTTTCAGGGGATTCTCAGAGTCAAATAATCTTTATAATACTAAGACACTAAATTGCCTTCGTTCACTCTCTCATGAGAATACAATGGCATTGTATGCTTTTAAAGAAAATAACTATCTTCCAAAAAAATTTATTATTTAGATTTTTGCAAATCTATTGTCTGGCTTGATTTTTTGAAACATTATGCATCAGTCATTTGGAAAATGTCGGTTCACTGAGTTATGCAGATCTTTCAAATGTTGCCATATTTCATTATACAGTATAAAAAAATCACATTCTTTCACATCACCAGAGATCTCAAAAGAAAAGTTCTTTAGCTTTAGGTGTTGGACAGAAATTTTCCAAAATTTTTACTTGAAAGTCTGAATTTTGTCACTGGCAACAAATACTGTTACAGCTGTTTTCTATAAAGTAACAGGGACAATTTGTTCATTTTTGAGAAAATGACTGTCAAGTATACGAATCTGAATAGTTTGTCTCTGAATAATTCTTTCAAGGAAAAATGATATTCCATGAAAAAAAATCGTTAGGTCAGCTTGCAACTCAACTGCCCAAAGGCCTTTCCTTGAGTTAATCACGGTCCTCTGGTTTTCTGGCCAAAGTGCCTATTTGTGGGCTTCCTATGTCATGCAGGGTATGACAATGAAAGTACTCAAAGGTCAACACTCAGCAAAATTAGTAATTTTTACTACTTATCAAGACATTCTTCAGTAAAACTGGTGCTTTTTCTTTGTTTCACTGCGTGTGGCACTGAAAAATATGATGATTACTAGTATAGTTTGGGACCACTGCCCTGATTCGTACTAAGGCACTGGCAGTTGTACCCACCACAGTTTTTGTTTGTTTGTTTGTTTTAATTTTGTTTATTCGTTTGACAGACTGAGATCACAAGTAGGCAGAGAGGCAGGCAGAGAGAGAGGAAAGCAGGCTCCCAGCTGAGCAGAGCCCGATGCGGGACTTGATCCCAGGACCTGAGATCATGACCTGAGCCGAAGGCAGAGGCTTAACCCCCTGAGCCACCCAGGGCCCCCACCATTGTTTTTGTACCACTTAGTACAAATGTCGAACATGAAAAGGGCAAATTCATATCCCACTATTAGGAAAACAGTTTTGACCTTCGTGACCCCAGAGCTCCACAAAGCACATTTTGAAAAGCTGCTATTAGCTTGGGCCTGAGTTTCTGAACCAAATTAATGTATAAATCCACCCAATCCAAGCCTAGAAAAGAAACTGTTTCACGGGGATTCCTGAGGAAAGATGTTTGCTTTTCTTTTCAGAAAGCTGTAAGTTTATACAAACTGTTCACTTTAAAACGGTTAGGGGTATACGTGGATTATACTTTAAAACGGTTGTTTTATGTTATATGAAATTTATTTCAAAAAAAAAAAAAAGAATATGACATAGGAAAATATGTTCTCTCTTGTTTTGGATACAGCTGTGCAAAGACATGTGGCCAAAGTGGTTACAGAATCTCATTACCGGTCAAAATAATTCTTATGATACAACAGCAGTAAATATCTTAGTACATATATCCTTCCACGCCAGTGATTTTATTTCTGTAGGGTCACTTCCCAGGGGTAGGTAGTTAGATCAGAGTGGTTTTTGCACATTTATTTAAGAAAATATTCTGAAGTACTATAGGGATATCTGGGTGGCTTGGCTGGTTAGGTGGCCAACTCTTGATTTTGGCTCAGGTCATGATCTCAGTGTCCTGGGATCGAGCCCCACATCAGACTCTGCTCAGCAGGGAGCCTCCTTGAGGATTCTCTCTCTCTCTCTCTCTCTCTCTCTCTCTATCCTTACTCCTGTCCCCTCCCCACTCACATGCTCATTCACTGTCTCTCTAAAATAAAGAAATAAATCTTTAAAAATAATTTATGAGAATGGTAGCATACTGTACATATTCTTTTGCATCTTGCTTTTCTATAAAAACCAGTATTACGATTTTTGATAAAGATCTACTGCTGTAACTATTTAATACGATAGTCACAGCTCCATAGCCATTTAAATTAAAAGTAAGTAAAATTAAAATTTCAGTTTCTCAGTTGCACTAGCCATGTTTTAAGTATCAAAAACTATATGCGACTCATAACTACTGTATTGGAGAGCAAAAATACAGAACGTTAATTATTTCAGAAATCTCTGTTGAACAGTGCTGATATGTAATGCATTCATTTCCTGCAGGGTTGTACTTGCTTGTAGGAATATGCTTTGTTTTATCTATTCTCTTAATGAAAGGATTAAGCTGTTTCCATTTTCCCCTGTGTATGTGTGAGAACTTCTCAACTATATACAAAGACGCAGAACTGCGGACTCACAGACTATATGTGTTGTCAACATGACCAGATACAGTCAAACTGCTCCAAAGTGGTTACACCAGTCACCACTCCTACAGGTACAAAGACCTTAGGTGACAAAACTGGAAACTTAAAAGGCTTCCAACTCAGTCTCCCCCTCAAACCATTTGCCTGTTCTTAAGCAGCACAGACAGAAGGCTAAGGAACTACATACCAGAAACCTCTCAGCAGCAAAGGAGATATCCCCACAGTCTTTCATGCTGGTATACCTGGCTTTCAACTGAAATTCCTGGAAGATTACAACCTAGGGTCGATGAGAAGCAGGAGGAGACTGAGGCCTACCAACTCTACAACCCAATACTAATCCAGCATAGTTCCTTAATGGATTTAAGTGAACCGCTGAGCACTCTAACAGCACAGGAGAAGAAAAAACAAGTTCACTCTGCGGGGGAGATAACATCATCTGGAGCCTCTGCAGTTATTTATACAGTAGCCAGCATTTGATAAAAAATTACTCTTAAGAGATTCTTTTTTCTTTTTTAAAAGATTTTATTTATTTATTTGACAGAGATCACAAACAGGTAGAGAGGCAGGTGGGGGGCAGGGGGAGCAGGCTCCATGCTGAGCAGAGTCTGATGTGGGGCTCAATCCCAGGACCCTGGGATCATGACCTGAGCCAAAGACAGAGGTTTTAACCCATTGAGCCACCCAGATGCCCACTCTTAAGAGATTCTTAATAATAGAGAACAAACTGAGGGCTGATGGAGGGAGGAGGGTGGAGGCGGGCTAGATGGGTGATAGCTATGAAGATGGCACTTGTGCTGAGCATTGGGTGTTGTTATACATAAATGATGAATCACTTTCCTCCTGAAACCAATACTGCACTGGATGCTACTAACTAGAATTTAAATTTAAAAAATGAAGAAAAAAACTATTAGACATGCAAAGAAAAAGAATCATATGATAACAGAAAATAGAGAGAAAATAGGAGCAAACACACAGATGTCAAAATATCTAGTTACCAGACAAGAAAGCTGAAATGACTATGAATAATGTGATCAAAAAATAAGGGAAAAAACAGAGGGGCATGTGGGTGGCTCAGTGGGTTAAAGCCTCTGCCTTTGGCTCAGGTCATGATCCCAGGGTCCTGGGATTGAGCCCCACATCAGACTCTCTGCTCAGCAGGGAGCCTGCTTCCCCCTCTCTCTCTGCCTGCCTCTCTGCCTGCTTGTGATCTCTTTCTGTCAAATAAATAAATAAAAATCTTAAAAAAAAAAAACAACCCACCAGAACAGAAATACTGAAGAAAAGGTAAACAGAGAATTAAAATCTATAAAAAAGATGGAGTGCCTAGGTGGCTCAGTCAGTTAACTGTGCAGACACTTGGTTTTGGCTCAGGTCAGATCCTGAGATCAAGCTCCACATTGGGCTCCACGCTCAGTGCAGTCTGCTCAAGATTGTCTCTCTTCGTCTCCCTCTGCCCCTCCCCCCAACTCTTGCACTCTCTAAAAATAAATAAAATCTTTTAAAAAGCTATCAAAAAGAAGAAAAGAGATATTATAGAACAAAAAAAAACACAACTCATTAAGAACTCATTGGATGACTAACAAGACACATGACAGAGCAGAATATACAACTAATTAATTTGAAAACAGATCAACAGAAACTCTCTAAATTGAGAGCATGTGGGGGTTTTGTTTGTTTGTTTCTAGAGAGTGATATAAAACCAAAACAGAGCAGAAGAGAAATACGTTAAATGGTCAGAAGGTCTAACATATCTCTACTTGGAGTTTCTGAAGAAAAGCAGAGAGAGAGTGAGGCAGAACACATGAAGAGATTGTTTTCAAAAACTTAAATACAACAAACAACAAATTCAAGATGCTTAGTAAATCCTAACAGTATGAGTAGAAAAAGAAATCACACCTAAGCACATCTGAAAAAAATCTACGACAAATTTTTAAAAATCTTAAAACAGCCTTCAAAAAATTAAGACAACTGACCTCTCCATAAAAACACTGGAAACTAGTAGACAATGGAAAATATCTTTTAAAATGCCAAAAGAAAATAATTCTATGCCTAATAAAAATATCTTTCAAGGGACACCTGGGTGGCTTAGCTGGTTAAGCCTCTGCCTTCAGGTCAGGTCATGATCTCAGGGTCCTGGGATCCAGCCCTGTATAGGGCTCTCTGCTCAGCAGGGAGCCTGCTTCCCCCTCTCTCTCTGCCTGCCTCTCTGGCTACTTGAGGTCTCTCTAATACATAAATAAAATCTTTTTAAAAAATCTTTCAAAAATGAAGGTAAAACAAGTAAACTTTCAAAATAACAAAAACTAAATGGGCTATCAGCAGTCATGCAGTAAAATATTAGATTCATCAAAATCCAAAGGTTTGTTCTTCAAAGCACATTATCAAGAAAAGTGAAAACTTGGGGTGCCTGGGTGGCTCAGTGAGGTAAGCATGGGACTCTTAATTTTGGCTCAGGTCATGATATCAGGATCATGAGATCAAGCCCCATATTGGGCTCCACAACTGACACAGAGCCTGTTTAAGATTCTGCCTCCCCTCTCCACTCCCATGCCCCCACCAGCCCCTCTTTGCTCGCTCTCTCTTTAAATAAATAAATAAATAAGAAAGTGAAAACACAACCACACAGAATGAGAGAAAATACTGGTAAATCTAGCTGTTATTCTACTTTACAAACAGAAAGCTATTGTAATGTAAAAAGTTACTTATTTTAACTAAAAAATTTTTAAGTTATTTTGAAACCAATTTTCCTGGATAAAAAAGATATAACTTCTTTGAAAAAATTCCAAATTTCTATTTTATTTTTTAAAAATTATTATGAGAGAGTGAGAGAGGAGAGGAAAGGGCAGAGGTCAAGGGAGAGAATCAGTTGCACGTTGAGTGGAGCCAGATGTGGGGCTGGATCTCACATCCCTGAGATCATGAACTGCGCCAAAATCAAGAGTCAGATGTTTGATCAACTGAACCACCCAGGTGCCCCCAAAATTCCAAATTTTTAAAGTTCATACAATCAGTGATGTTTCCTTGGGGTGAACGTATATTAAAACAAAACAAAACTACTTGAGCAATAATCCAATCTATAACTTAAATGATTATATTCCCACAGATCATCCAACATAGGGGTCAGGAGCTTGCATGAGATCAATAAAGGAAAAGAAAACTAGAATCCACTGAATACTTACTAGGCACTGTGAAAACATTTTACACATTACCTCATTTTAATCCTCATAACCACCATATGAAGTATTATCTTACTCCTACAGGTGAGGAAATTAAGTCTCAGAGAGTTACTTAAACTTGGCCATTATATTACACAGCTGTAAGTGACAAAGCTAGAATTTAGATAACAGCTAACATTCATTGAGCATTTCCCACTGTGCCAAAATCGACTGTAAAATTTATTATATGTATTAACTAATTTATTCTTTCCAAAAATCCGACAAAGTATGTTATCATTATTATCCTTGGTTTAGAGAGAAACTGAGGCACAGAGAAATCAGATAACTTGTCCAAGATTATGAAAATAATAATTGGTAGATTTAGGATTTTAACCCTGGCAATCTGATTCTGGAGCTTGAATTCTTAACCACTAAACCATGTTACCTCTCCCAGATTCCAACCTGAGGTGTTTGAGTTCACTCAGCCAAAATATTCAACAATTTGTAATGAGTATGTCCTAAAATCCATTTTGGGAAAAATACTGACTAAAAAATTAATCCAAAGAGACTCATTTACAAATAACTTAGTTTTTAAATATGCATTTCACACTATTTAACAAAGGAAGGCAGGTTCAACTCTACATTGTATTAAGTTAGTAGTGACACAAATTAGAAATATAGCAGACTACCAAGAAAGCAATCTCTGTAACTACTGTGGTATAGGCAAAGACAGTGGCAAATATCACATAAATGACACGTAAGGTGATAATAAGAAAAAGAGGTCAGGCAAAATAATAGATTCCACCATCTAACTTGCCTTAGGAGAAATTCTCTTAAAGACTGTTTTTCTTCTAACATACCTTCTCTTGCTGCAACCTTAAAAGCAAACCACGCTGTTTCTTCCGAAGTGGGGGCATTTTATCATCTTCTCCTTTGTCTCGTAGATGTCTGCAAATATTTCACATTGAGACAAAGAGTTGATTAAATTTCTATTATAATGTCAAGAATTCTCTACCACTGAAAAGTCTCTGAAACAATTTAACATTTTCAAACATGGAAAACATGCAGCAAAGCCTACCCCATCAAATATTTTATTGCACATATAATATATGCAAACTCTAGACTGTGTCCTTTGAAGATACAATTGCTTTGAGAAATTTATAACACGGTAAAGGAATTAAGTGTAAATAGTAATATGAGAGTCAGGTGATAAAAAAGAAATGCAAAGAGAATGTTATGAGAAGGGAGGTCTGAACAGCAACAGGATTCAAAGACGACTGCCAGATTTCTAGGTTAAGAAACTGGATTGGTGAAAAAAAAAAAAAAGAAACGGGATTGGTCAAATTAAATTAAATGAAGAAACAAAAACAGCTTTAAAGACAAAGCATTTCCTTGGATAGAAGAAGAAATTGGAAAGCGAAAACTATGTTCACTGAAACAACTTACTTTTTCTGATGCTCTAGCCAGGCTAATTCAGCCTTAGTTTTCTCCTTCAAGGCCTTCTCACGGAGACGCAAGAGTGAAGACTGGTGAGCCGCCCTCATTTCCTCTTCTTTCATATACTGTCGAACCATCTCCATAGTAAATTTAGAAAAACTATCTTGTCCTCCTGAGAATGGCATGCTCAGCTCCTAAGTGGAGATTTTATTTCAAGTTTATCATTACCTAAGCCTTTGGAACTTAAAATTAATTTTGTTAAAAGAGGCATGTACTTATAAAATATATGTATAAAAAAAGGGTGCTGACCATGTCAGAGAACTCGCTTCAAAAAAGGCACACGAGAGGGAGTAACACTCATCAGCTAATTTATTCAGCAACTGAAGTTTTAACAAACAACTACATAAGCCAGGTATTGTCCCAGGGGTATAAAGTTGGGTAAGAACTGTCCCTGTTGTCCAGAAGGCTAACAATTTAGCAAGGTGATATGGACTTTTAAAACGGAATAAAATGTTGTAAGAGTGAAGCAAATGAAACATTAGAGACATACACTGGCTCTAATCCTGAAAGGCCGCCTCCATTACTCCAAGGAGTAAGTCTATGTTGTACTTTGTAAAGGAAGCAAAGCCAGATTCTATAGCAAAAATTTGTATAGCTCTAAAATTGCTATCTTAGGAAAATCATTCTGGTAGATGACACCTGAGTTCAAGCACAAAACATATGGTCCTATCTTTGAGAGAACATATCCACAGCTCTTTATGAAGTAATCACAAGTAAACTGAAGCACACCTTGGCAGAAGACAGTGTTGTCTTTTCTGGAGAGGTTTCATCATCAGAGTCATCATGATGGCCTCTCTTCTTTTCCATGTTAAACCTGCGATGACTCTCAGAAGGTAGTAAAGATCGAAATGATTTTTCTTCTATTTCATCTTCTGTCATAGATTCATCGAATTTCAGGGAATATTCTGTTGCAATAGAAGTAGAATCTAAAAGAATTTGGAACAAGTAGATTTTATCATTGTAATGGTTTTCAGTAAGTATTCATTAATAGCCCTTGCTGTCTCGTTATGGGACAACCTAATAAATTCAGGGAATTGATGGCTAACAATTAATAGGCATGGCAATAAAAATTCACTGAACTATCCAAAAATATGAGTACAAGATATATGGTAAAAGTGTAATACACTATATATAAACAGCTCTAACAAACCAATTAGAAAACTAATAATCCTACAGAAAAATGAGAAATAGTCATGATCAACTGCATCACAAAGAGAATATGAATGGTCAAAATAAAGTAAAAAAAAAAAAGTTTAACATTATTAGCAAAGAAATGCATATTAAAATTTTTTTAGAATTCATCAATACCATGGTAATTTAAAACATGATGGCTCTTGTGTGCCTTTGACATGCACTCCTCACCTCCAATCCTTTTCTTATTTGGACAGCCTTACCTTCCAGTACTATAAGACATTCCAGGTTCATTTTGTATTTTCCCTGTCCAGTCCTAGAATCAGTCATTTCTCCAAAGAGCTCTCATCTAATTTGTTTCATTAGAGAGTATTTAGAAACCACAATTATGGATACTGGTTATTCTTTTTTTTTTTTTTTTTAAGATTTTATTTATTTATTTGAGAGAGAAAGACCAGAGTGAGAGAGAGAGCAAGGTGTGGAGGGGCAGAGGGAGAAGGAAAAGCAGGCTCTCAGCCAAGGAGGGAGCCTGATGTAGGGCTTGATCCTAGGACATTGGGATCATGGCCTGAGCCAAAGGCAGATACTTAACCGACTGAGACACGCAGGCACCCTGGCACTGGGTCACTCTTGTTACTACTAGAGCATCATGGTTTCTTCCCTCTGTCAGTGGCCAGAGCTAGATGAAGTATGCATGTATACTAACCAATGTACAAACACACACACACACACACACACACACAGTAGTTCCTGTATCCATCCATCCATCCAAAGATGGATTCAGACTGATGTCACTGACTCTAAACCAGCACCACAGGGTTCATTCCAGTCTTCCTTTCTTGTGTATCTAATATCCTTCTCCACCGAGAAACCTGGCTCTTACCAAACAACATCAATTTACTTATTTGTTCAACCCCAATACATACATAAGAACTGTTTACCTGTAGCCCTGTGAAAAGCTCATTTACCAATTAGAATACAGTGTTTAATAAAAGAAATCAGACTCAAAAAACACATACTGTATGATTCCACTTACATTATTTTCAAATAGGCAAAGTGAAAGTCCAAGTACAGAAAGCCCATCAGGGGATGCTTGGGGCTGTCCTTAGGGAGGGCAGTTGAATGCAAAGGGTCATGGGAAAATGTGGGGGGTAATATATCCTAAATCTTGAGTCTGACTGTGATTACGTGGGTGTCTATCACACAGTTGTCAAACTCATTGTACTATGTGTTTGAAATGACTGTAATAAATCCATAAAATTGATTTAAAAATTTAAAGAAAGCCAAGAGAAGACAGTAGCTGACAAATATAAAGAAGGAATCTTATCCAGGAACTTTCTGAGGAAATGAGAGTCCAATTCACATTTTTTGTTTACCTCTACTAAAACAAATATAAAATCAGAAACTTCCAGGGCTGATTTAATAACTTAATAAAGACAAATATCACACACACACAAAAAAGAATACAGTGTTTATATTCTGCTCTCTTTATATTTAGGTTTACAATTTCCACTCAAAACTGCCATTTTCCAAAATTACTTAGGTCAGCTCCTTTTTCTTCCACCTTCTTCAGTGTGGTTATGCCATACATTTGTAATAAAGTTAGATTCCTTTGTCATAGACTGCATTCTATTCTAGGATCCCCAACATCCTGGTTGATGTGTGTGTGTGTTTAGTTTGCACATGCTGAAATTACCCTTTGTGATATACAGCTCTAGGGTTCTGAAAAATGCACAGCATCTGTCAGTACATAAAGAACCGTACAGGATATCCCTTACATAAGTTGCTTCACACTTAAAGTTCTCCTGTGCATCTCCTTTGTAGTTTAACAACTTCCTCTTTTACCTAACAGTTGAGAACCATTAATATGTTTTCCTACCCTAAAGTTTTGCCTATTCCAGAATGTCATATAAATGGAATCATACACTATGTAGCCTTCTGCAGCTTGCTTCTTTTGCTTAGTAAAATTCACTTGAAATTCATCTGTTACGTTGCATGAATAAATAGCTTGTTCCTTTTAATCACTGAATAGTATTCCACTGTACAGATGAACCAGTTTGCTTATCCATTCTCTTTGTAAGACATTTGGTGGCTTCTAGTTGTTAGCAATAATGAAAAATGGTGCTATGAACATTAGTGTATAGGCTTTTGTGAGGATCTAAGTTTTCAATTCATTTGCCTAGGCATGTGATTGATGGATTATTATAAGACACTGAAAATGTCTTACAAAGCAGCTGTACCATTTTGCATTCTCATCAGCAACGAATTCAAGTTCCCGTTGCTCTGCATCTTTACCGCCACCACTTTGTTGTCAGCTTTTTGGATTTTAGCCATTCTAACAGGTATGTTGTAGTATCTCATTGTGATTTTAATCTTCATTTCCCGAACACATGATATTGAACACCTTTCCTAAATCTACTTGCCATTTGCATAGTTCCTTTAATGAAGTGTCTGTTCAGATCTTATGCACATTTTTAAATAGGGTTGATGATTTTCTTGTTGTTGAGTCTTAGGGGTCCTTTATATAATTCTGGATATTAAGTCCTTATGTGATTTACAAATATTTCTAACAGTCTATGGATTCTCTTTTCAACTCTCTTAACAGTGTTTTTCACAGAGCAGTTTTTTTAATTTAAACAAGCATAGCTTATCAATTTTTCTCTTTCAGAGATTGTAGTTCCAGTGTTGTGTTCTAAGAGGTCACTGCTAAACAAAAGATGAGTTGGCTTTTCTCCTACATACAGGTTTTTAAAATGGTGTCGTTTCTTTGGCTCTTGGTTGTCCTGTGGACTTTAGTTGCCTTAGCTCTCCAGACCCCTAACTTCACTTCTTCCACGAGGGAAGACTACTGGACTCCATGGCACACAGCCTAGAGACTGCCTTCAGGCAGTAAGCTGGAACAGTCATAGTGCACCTCATCTGCTTTTCATCTCTCATGAATCAATAGCATTCACTGCCTGATGTTCAATATCTTAAAAATAGTTATTTCATATGTTTTGTCTGATATTTGTTTTAGGAGGGAGGGTAAATCTGATCCTCTTCCTCCACTGTGGTCAGAAGTATAAGTTCAAGTAATTTAATTTTATATTGTTTAAAGAAGCGAAATATATCAAAAAGTCGTAGCTCATGACATTTCAGATTAATCACTTGTCAGTGATAAATCTGCAGTTATTGGAGCCAGGCACCATGGCAAACAGCCTGAGAACAACATTAAGTCACGGATGGTTACTATCCTGAGACTCAAAGACACTTTCAATAAATTTGTCTTCACTATTTTAATTACAAGCACTATTATTAAGATAAAATTTTACAGAGATTAAATTCATCCTGTAGGAGAAAATTAACAGATAATTTCTTTGTTTTCCTGTATCCTTTATTTCTCTCATTATGTGGAAGTTGTCATTATGAAGTCATTATAGCTTTGAAGTAGTTTCACCTAGATACACTTAATATCAGATTCAGATACACAAACACACACACACTACCATGGTCTAACTAGCTCAGTGACAAGTATCTCAAAGGGTTCTGGAAGCCTCCCCAAACAAGTAACTATACACACACCTGCAAGAAACATTACCTTTCTCATCAGGAAGAGATGGCACACTGTCACTTCGCAGAGAATCATCTACAACAGTCTGAACCTGTTCATCAATAGAATTCTCCATCTTTTCACCATGAAGTTTCCTCTCATTTTCCTTAGAAGATGGCACTGAAGGGCTTTCTTGACGGCTGCTACCACTACTACTTCTGTTTATAGATATTATAGAAACAAACAAAAAAAAAGTGATAAGGTTCGGAAATTCAAAGTAAATTTATTTGGCAAGGGGAATGCGCTTCATGATCAAGATATGAAATGATGAAAAGTAACATAAAACATAAAATGCAAAGTGGACAGAGATCTGAGAAGAAACTGTTGTAGAAAAGAGAATGGCTTCACTCTTAAATAGTCATGAAAAGCAAGCACTAATCCCAGGCTATCACTTCCCCTTTTCCTTTCATTTTAAAATCAAAATCAAGGAAAAGGGGCCTCTATTTGGCTGTTTCAACTTCCTTACTTTTCATCAACATCACAATTAATCACAATCAGCTTAATTCCAACTACTATAATCCTTCTTTCAAACTCAACCTAAACTTGAATTCCCAAATCCAATGGATAATTTTTCTGCAATATTATATGGTCTTTATCTCTACCTCCTTCTTTAAAAGCTCCACTGGCTAAAGCAAATGTAGTAAAATGTTAATATCAGTATAATGTGGATAAAAAATATTTAGGAACCTGTATTATTCTTGCAATATTTTTGTAAGCTTGAAATTATTATCAAAATTAAATGTTAAGAAAAAGACTTTTCTTTCTTACACTCCTTTCTATCCTCACCAGCTTTTCTACCTCCTGAAACAGTTTTTCTGTTTCTTTCATGTCCTTTGAATTTTCCTGGCTTTCCTTAAAATGATGGTGATTCCCAGAGTTTTGTTGTTGGTCCCTTTCTCTTTTTTGCTACCTACTGTCCCCTGGCAATCTTATGCATCTCTGTAATTTCAACTACTATCATTCAGATTGAGCCTTAAATCTGTATCAACTAGTTCTGCCTTTCCCTGACTTTAGTTAGCCTCAAATTTCCAAATGCTTAGTGAATTTGTTTTTTTTCTTTTATTTTTTTTATTGTGTTTAGTTAGCCAACATATAGTACACCATTAGTTTTCAATACAGTATTCAACGATTCATTAGTTGTATATAAGGTCAGTGTTTTCCTTCCTCCCCCTTTGCTTTCCTTAGTTTATTCATTCATTTAAATATACATAGAAAGAGAGAGAGCCAATTACAAGCCATGTCTTAAGATCCTCTCCATAAGCTATGTCCTCTTCTGAAATGCCTTTCCTTCCCTGCCTACCTATTTAAGACTGTTCTGCCTCCCTGATTTAAGACTCAGTTCAAGTATCATTTCTGTAAAGTGCTCAATTACTCTACTTAGCAGTTATGTGCCAATCATTCACCCAGTAAACATGTAGTAAACTGCCTATTGCGTGCTAGGTATTTTGCTAAGTATAGTACGGTCTTCACTAGGATGGCTGTAGTAAAAAAGAGAGATAATAACAAATGTTGGTGAGGATGTAAAAAAAAATAAATTTTTAGTGGGAATGTGAAGTGGAACAGCTGTTTCCAAAAAGTTAAAGAGGTATTTTATGACCCAGCAATCCCTCTTCTAAGTGTATACCCAAAAGAAATGAAAATGTATGTCCACACAAAAACTTTTATATACAGGTATGTAGCAGCACTATTCATAATAGTAAAAAAATAGAAGCAATCCAATGTCTATCAACTGATGGTAAATAAAATGTGGGATATCCATACAAGAGAATATTATTTGGCCTATAAAGGAATAATATACTAATATGTGATAGATAAACCTTAAAAACATTATACTAAGTCAAAGAACCAGTCACAAAGGACCACACATTGTATGATGCCATTTATATGAAATGTCCAAAAGAGACAAATCCACAGAGAACAGATATACAAAGTAGGTTAGTGGTTGCCAGAAGCTGAAGAGAGAGCAAAAGAAATGACTAATGGGTATGGGCCTTCTTTTTGGGGTGATGAAAATGAAGACCTCAAACAATTTCTAGTGTACTCCATAACTGACAAAGTAACAAGAGACAGAAGGTGGTAAAGGCTCAAACAGTTATATAAGGAGTGCTATGGGAGAACACAGAAGGGATATCTAAAGCAGACTAAGGGTAACACTGACTCGTGGAGGGGAGTAAAAGTAAATTAAATGAAATAGAGTGGGGAAGTTCTAGAAAGAAGGCATATCTTGGAGAAGTCCATGATGGCAAAGGAGTAAGAGACCTTAGTTTTGTCTGGTCCCAGGAATTCAGGTAGGTAGCTATTAAATCATTCTGAATACCTGTGAATTCAACTGAAGATCTAAGAAAAGAATAGCTACAAGTCCACAAACAGAAAAGCAACCACTTTCTGCAAGAATGATAAGACAGAAAAAAATCACCTCAAAAAAGAGAGCAAGAGGCAGTACTGAATTCCAGGGACCTAATCAGTATGGATATAAGTAAGATGTTGGAACTGGAGTTCAGGATAACAATTATAAAGATATGAGCTGGGCTTGAAAAGAGCATAGAGAACACTAGAGAATCCCTACCTGGAGAAATAAAAGAACTAAAATCTAATCAAGTTGAAACAGAAAAGACTATTAATGAGATGCAATAAAAAATGGAGGCTCGGGGCGCCTGGGTGGCTCAGTGCGCCTGGGTGGCTCAGTAGGTTAAAGCCTCTGCCTTTGGCTCAGGTCGTGATCCTAGGGTCCTGGGGTCGAGCCCCACGTCAGGCTCTCTGCTCAGCGGGGAGCCTGCTTCCCTTCCTCTCCCTGCCTGCCTCTCTGCCTACTTACGATCTGTCTGCCAAATAAATAAATAAAACCTTTAAAAAAAAAAAATGGAGGCTCTAACTGCTAGGATGAATTAGGCAGAAGAGAGAAATAGTAATATAGAAGACAAAATGATGGAGAATAAAGAAGCTGAGAAAAAGAGAGATAAACAACTATTGGATCACGAGGGGAGAATTTGAGGCATAAGTGATAAGCAAAACAGCATCAGAATAATTGGGATTCCAGAAGAAGAGGAAAGAGGGAGAGTGGGGCAAAAGGTATACCAGAGCAAACGAGAGCACAAAACGTCCCTAATCTGGGGAAGGAAAAAGGCATTCAAGTTTAGGAGGCACATGAGAATCCCCCTCAAAATCAGTAAAAAAGGTCAACACCTCAACATATAATAGTGAAACTTGCAAATCTCAGAGAAAAAGAGAAAATTCTGAAAGCAGCTCAGAACAAGAGGTTCGTTACCTACAAGGGTAGGTATTTGACTGGAAGCAGCCCTATCCACAGAGACCTGGCAGGACAGAAAGGTCTGGCGTGATAAACTCAGGGTGCTAAATGAGAAAAATACGCAGCTAAGAATACTTAATCCGTTAAGGCTGTCATTCAAAATAGAAGGAGAGATAAAAAGCTTCCAGAACAAACAGAAACTTAAAGATTTTGTGATCACTAAACCAGCCCTGCAAGAAATATTAAAGAAGATCCTTTAAGTGAAGAGAGAGCCCCAAAGTAACATAACCAGAAAGGAACAAAGAAAATATACAGAAACAGTGATTTTATAGGTAAGACAATGGCACTAAATTCCTATCTTTCAATAGTTACACTGTAAAGGGGCTAAATGCTCCAATCAAGAGACACAGGGTATCAGACTGGCTAAAAAAGCAAGACCCATCAATATGTGTCAACGAGAGATTCATTTTAGACTCAAGGACACTTCCAGATTGAAAGTGAGGAGCTGGAAAACCATGTATCATGCTAATGGACATCAAAAGAAAGCTAGGGTAGCAATCCTTATATCAGACAAATTAGATTTTAAACCAAAGACTGTAATAAAAGATGAATAAGGACACTATATTATAATTAAATTGTCTATCCAATAAGAAAATCTAACAACTGTAAATATTTATGCCTCTAACATAGGAGCAGCCAATTATACAAACCAATTTATAACAAAAAGAAACTCATCGGTAATAATACAGTAATAGTAGGGGACTTTAACACTCCACTCACTGGAATGGACAGATCATCTAAGTAGAATATCAACAAGGAAACAAGAGCCTTGAATGACACACTGGACCAGATGGACTTCACAGATAATATTCCAAGGATTCCATCCTAAAGCAACAGAATATACATTCTTCTTGAGTAAACATGGAACATTCTCCAGAAAAGATCACATACTGGGTCACAAATCAGGTCTCAACCTGTACCAGAAGACTGAGATCATTCTTTGCATATTTTCAGACCACAATGCTTTGAAACTGGAACTTAATCACAAGAGGAAATTTGGAAAGAACTCAAGCATGTGGAGGCTGAAGAGCATCCTACTAAAGAATGAATGGGTTAAAAAAAAAGAAGAAGAAGAAGAATGAGTGGGTCAACCAGGAAATTAAAGAACAACTTTTTTAGCAAAGGTGGTCCTAAGAGGGAAGTATATAGCAATACAAGCCTTTCTCAAGAAACAAGAAAAGTCTCAAATATACAACCTAACCTTATACCTAATGGAGCTGGAGAAAGAACAGCAAATAAAGCCTAAGTCCAGCAGGAAAAGAGAATTAATAAAGATTAGAGCAGAAACCAATGAAATAAAAACCAAAAGAACAGGAGAACAGATCAATGAAAGCAGGATCTGATTCTTTGAAAGAATTAATAAAATTGAAAAAAACCTTAGTCAGACTTATAAAAAAGAAAAGAGAAAGGACTCAAACAAATAAAATCATGAATGAAAGAGGAGAGATCACAACCAATACCGAAGAAACACAAACAATTAAGAACAGTTAAGAACAAACAATTAAGAAATAAGAACATACTATAAGCAATTACATGCCAACAAATTAGGCAATCTGGAAGAAATGGCTGCATCCCTAAAGACATATAAACTACCAAAACTGAAACAAGAAGAAAGAAAAAACCTCAACAGACCCATAACCAGCAATGAAATAGAAGCAATAATCAAAAATCTCCCAACAAACAAGAGTCCAGGGCCTGAAGGCTTCCCAGGGGAACTCTACCAAACATTTAAAGAAGAATTAATACCTATTCTTCTATTCAAACAATAGAAATGGAAGGAAAACTTCCCAACTCTTTCTTTGAGGCCAGCATTACCTTGATCCCAAAACCAGACAAAGACCCCCACCAAAAAGGAGAATTACAGACCAAAATCCCTGATGAACGAGGATGCCAAAATTCTCACCAAGAGACTAGCCAATAGGATCCAAAAGTACATTAAAAGGATTACACACCACAACCAAGTGGGATTTATTACTGGGTGGCACAGGTGGTTCAACATCCACAAATCAATTAACATGATACACTACATTAATTTAAAAAAAAAGGGGGACAAGAACCATATGATCCTCTCAACAGATGCAGAAAAAGCATTTGACAAAGTATAGCAGTTTTTCTTGAAACTTTTCACAGTGTAGGGACAGAAGGAACATACCTCAATATCATAAAAGCCATCTATGAAAAGCCTACAGCAAATATCATTCTTAGGGCGGAAAAACCGAGAGCTTTTCCCCTAAGGTCAGGAAAACAGCAGGGATGTCCACTATCACCACTGTTGTTCAACACAGTGCTAGAAGTCCTAGACTCAGCAATCAGACAACAAAAGAAATAAAAGGCATTTGAATTGGCAAAGAAGAAGTCAAACCCTTACTCTTCGCACATGACATGGTACTCTATGTGGAAAATCCAAGACTCCACCCCAAAATTGCTAAAACTCATACAGGAATTCAGCAAAGCGGCAGGATATAAAATCAATGCACAGAAGTCAGTTGCACTTCTATACACTAACAATGAAACAGAAGAAAGAGAAATTAAGGAGTTGATCCCATTTACAATTGTACCAAATACCGAGATACCTAGGAATAAATCTAACCAAAGAGGCAAAGGATCTGTACTCAGAAAACTAAAGAACACTCATGAAAGAAATTGAGGAAGACACAAAGAAATGGAAAAACCTTCTATGCTCATGGATTGGAAGAACAAATATTCTTAAAATGTCTATGCTACATAGAGCAATCTATATAATCAATGCAATCCCTATCAAAATGCCATCATTTTTTTTTTTACAGAGCTGGAACAAATAATCCTAAAATTTGTATGGAAGCAGAAAAGACCCTGAATAGCCAAAGGAATGTTGAAAAGGAAAGCCAAAGCTGGTGGCATCACAATGCCGGACTTCAAGCTCTATATCAAAGCTGTAATCATCAAGACAATGTGGTACTGGCACAAAAATAGAAACATAGATCGGTGAAACAGAATAGAGAACCCAGAAACAGACCCTCAACTTTATGATCAACTAATCCTAGACAAAGTAGGAAAGAATATCCAATGGAAAAGGACAGTCTCTTCAACAAATGGTGTTGGAAAAACTGGACAGCCACATGTAGAAGAATGAAACTTGACTATTTCCTTACACCATATACAAAAATAGACTCAAAATGGATGAAAGACATAAATGTGAGATATCAAAATCCTAAAGGAGAACATAGGCAGCAACCTCTGTGCAACCTCTTAGCCACAGCAACTTCTTGCTAGACATGTTTCCAAAGGCAAGGGAAACAAAAGCAAAAATGAACTACTGGGATATCATCAAAATAAAAAATCTTTTGTACAGCAAAGGGAACAGTCAACAAAACCAAAACAGAACGGGAGAAGATATTTGGAAGTGTTTTATCAGATAAAGGGCTAGTATCCAAAATCTATAAAGAACTTATCAAACTCAACACCCATAGAACAAATAATCCAATCAAGAAATGGGCAGAAGACATAAACAGACATTTCTCCAAAGACAGCTTACAAATGGCCAAGAGACACATGAAAAAAGGCTCAATATCACTCACCATCAGGGAAATACGAATCAAAACCACACTGAGATACAACTGTACACAACTAAGAATGGCTAAAATCAACAAGTCAGGAAATGACAGATGTTGGCAAGAATGCGGTCAAAGGGGAATCCTAACCCTCTTATCTTACACTGTTGGTGGGAATATAAGCTGGTGCAGCCACTCTGGAAAACAGTATGGAGGTTCCTGAAAAAGTTGAAAATAGAGCAGCAATCACACCACTGGGTATTTACCCTAAAGACACAAATGTAGTGACCCAAAGGGGTACCTCCACCCCAATGTTTATAGCAGCAACGTCCACAACAGCCAAACTATGGAAAGAGTCCAGATGTCCACTGACGGATGAATGGATAAAGAAGATGTGGTAGGGGCGCCTGGGTGGCTCAGTGGTTAAAGCCTCTGCCTTCGGCTCAGGTCATGATCTCAGGGTCCTGGGATCGAGTCCTGCATCGGGCTCTCTGCTCAGCAGGGAGCCTGCCTCCTCCTCCTGTCTCTCTCTGCCTGCCTCTCTGCCTACTTGTGATCTGTCAAATAAATTTAAAAAAAAAAAAAAAAGAAGATGTGGTATAATATATATACAATGGAATACTACGCAGCCATGAAAAACCCAAAATCTTGTCATTTACAAAGACATGGATGGAAAGTGAGGGTATTATGCGAAGAGAAGTCAATCAGAGAAAGGCAATTATCATATGCTCTCTCTGATATGAGGAATTTGGGAGGCAGGGCAGGGAGCTGTAGGGGGAAGGGAGAGAAAAAAGAAGTAAGATGGGAACAGGGAGGGAGACAAACCATGAGAGACTCTTAATCTCAGCAACTGAGGGTTGCTGGAGGGGATGGGGGTGGGAGGGATAAGGTGGCTGGATGAGGGACGCTGGGGAGGGTATATGCTATGGTGAGTGCTGTGAATTGTGCAAGACTGATGATTCACAGACCTGTATTCCTGAAACAAATAATACATTACATGTTAATTTAAAAAAGAAAGAAAATGTGGTATATACATACAATGGAACACTACAAGCCATCAAAAAAAAAAAAGAAATCTTGCCATTTGCAATGACGTGGATGGAACTAGAGGGTACTATGCTAAGTGAAATAAGTCAATCAGAGAAAGACAATCATCATATGATCTCACTCATAAGTGAAATTTAAGAAACAAAACAGAGGATCAGAGAGGAAGAGAGGGAAAAATAAAACAAGATAAAATCAGAGAGGTGACAAACCATTAAAAGACTCTTAATCATAGAAAACAAACCAAGGGTTGCTGGAGGGGAGGTGGGCAGGAGGATGGGGTAACTGGGTGATGGACATTAAGGAGGGCATGTGATGTAATGAGCACTGGGTATTATATGAGTGATGAAACACTGAACTCTAAATCTGAAATAGTACATTGTATGTAAATTAATTGAATTTAAATTTTAAAAAAGAGAAGGTATATCATATGTAATGGCACAAAAGAGAGAGAGAGCATGACTCTTTTTTTAGAGAATTACAATAGAGTAGTTGTAATTAGTAGAATAGGGTAAGAGGGGAAATGCCAAGAGACAGGGCTAGAGATGGACCAAAGCTTCAATAATAAAGGAACTTTGATGCTGTACTGAGTGGCTCTAAAGGAATACTGAAGGTTTCAACCAGGTGAGTAACAAATTGGCTGCAAATTTTAGAAAAATCACTCTAGTTACCATGTGGTTAGTGAAGAGATTGGGGAATGGTTTGAGAAAACTATGAGGAATCCCTGTAATGACCCATCTGACAGCCTCAATGAACTGTGTGTCAGGAAGGTTAAATGAAAGTCACATAGTTCCAGAGATATAGTAGGTACTTAATGCCCCACACTAATGTTTTTTAGTCTCATGATTTAATTTTTTAAATGAGGTTTCACTTTGACAATGTAGGTATCCTACCATAAGAATGCTGGAAAAGGAGCTTCAAAAATCTTCTAATCCAAGGACAGAACCATAATTGAAAACTACAGATGTTAATACCATGCAAGAACCAATGACAAAGTATTCGGTCCTCTTTTGTAATTATAAAAATTAGTACATACAGTAATGTCAAGAAATATGGATGTTAGCAAAGCAATGCACAATAAACATAGGCCTTGGAGCCAGATAAACCAAGGTTCAATTCTTTGGTGTGCTACTATCTAAGTGACCTCGGGTGAGTTTCTTAGCAACTGCATGAGCCTCTGTTCCCGTCTATAAAATGAGGACGGTTATCTGTCTTAGAAGGTTGCTGTGAATATTAAATGCAGGAAAAAGAGGGGCACCTGGGTGGCTCAGGGGGATAAGCCTCTGCCTTCAGCTCAGGTCATGATCTCAGAGTCCTGGGATCGAGCCCTGCATCAGGCTCTCTGCTCAGCAGGGAGCCTGCTTCCCACTCCCGCCCACAACCTGCCTCTCTGCCTACTTGTGTTCTCTCTCCCTCTGTCAAATAAATTAAAAAAAAAAAAAAGAAAGAAAGAAACTGACACAGTGCTTGTAAAAGGCAGGCTCTCAAGGAATGGTAGTTACATTACTACGTAGAACAATTATTTTATAAATCAGTTAATCAAATAAGGGAAGTCAGAACTTTGAAGTAAAGACACTATTTCATTTAAAGAAATGAGATTAAGAAGTAAAAAGAAAAAGCACTGTCTAAGCCATTCACCACACTTTACTAAATCAAAGTGTTTTCACCTTCGATCATGATTCTTGTATCTTGAAGACTCAGAATAACTATCGTATGAAGGGGAATACTTCTGATGTTTTGAATCAAGGGTCCCTTCTTTACTCTGAGAGGCTGAAACAGATTGACTTTTCCTGCAAAGAGAATAAAAACTGATTAAACTTTTAAAGTCTCTCCTAAGAGAAGGATTTTAAGTGCCATTTAACATTGAGATAAAATCTTGAATAGAAATTATGAAATAGCTATGACAAAGTTTTTAAGAAAGGCATTCACTCATAGAAAAGAGTATCTTTTGCTCTGTGAGAAATAAACACAAATCACCCCAAGTATCAGTAAATGTGAATAGGGACTTCAAATCTATGAATTAGAGACAGTCCAAATGTGATGTAAAAAAGACACACAAACATGATCACATCACCCAGGCTGCCTAAAAATCTGACTCTTCATTGTTCTAGGAATAAACTCCAAAATCCTCAAGGTCTGCGATGTCCCACCGTCATCTGATCAGTGCATCATCTCCTATCATTCTCCCCTTTGTTCTCTGCCTCGAGTCACAACCTTCCCTCATTTTCTCCTCTTACATTCATATGTACTGACCTGCCAATCTTTATCTGCTTTACATCACTGACTCCTTTCCAACCACTGGATCTCACCGTAAGCTTTCCTTCCCCAGGAAACCTTTCTCTAATGTCGCTGTACCCCTAGGCTATTCAAATTCCTTCGTTTTAGATCTCTGAGATGTACGTTCTTTTCTCTCCTAACACATGTCTCAGTGAGTAAGTGTTCATTCACTTCAGTGAATATTTGATTACAGTATCTATCTTCCCCACCACACTGTATGCCCATAACTATACTCCTAGCGCCCACGACAGGGCCTGGGACATAGTGGATACTCGTTGCATAGCTGCTGAATGACTGAGTATTAACCTATCCGTTTCAGCTCTGGTCCTCAGCTGTTTCACAAAGTCTGGAGCATGCTGTCGTTGGTGGTCGTATAGCGTTGTCAGGGGAGCTCCGGAAGCAGTGATGGCATCTGAGATATGAGTTCGAGTCAACTCTGCCATCTAAATAAGAACACACACAAGGCAAAAGTAGATGTGAAAAAAAAAATTACAGAAAACTGAGAAGGAGCACAGTGTCTTTGAAAGATCACTGGATTAAGAGCAAGTAAATTCCGCCATAAGAGGTAAAACACTGGGGGCAAGTCATTTAGATTCTTTAAGTCTCACAAAGCTTCCTTATAAAAATAAAAAGTTGGATGGACTAACTGATTTCTAAGTTTCATCTAGCTATAGCAACCTATAAATTAAAACAAAATCTTCAAGTAATATAATAAGCCATTATAAACCAAAAATAAATCTTCTATAAGAATCAACTCAATTTCTACTTCCTATATCTGTTTTGACCTACAATGGGAGGTATTCTCCCTATTCACCAGTACTGCAACTGCTGCCTCTGTTATGCATTTGGTGTTCATTCAATCACTGCCTTGACAACTTGAAGTGTGTTTGATATCTTTGTTAATGTTGTCTAAAATTTTCTTAAAAGAGTCTATGCACAATCCCATAATACCCAACCCAGGAGGTTCCTGGTCTTTTAATATTAATAACAAAATCATTTCACAAACAATCCTAAATTGTACCTGCTAATATAAACTGAAACTAAAACTATAGACTATAATATCCCGTACACAGACAACAGTAAAACTATTTCTGGCTTTGTTCTTGGTACAGTAAAAGACAAGACACTAACACCACTGTAGGTAGAAAGGAACCATCTTCATACAAAGCAGATAAATGGCCTCCTGGGACCAAAGCTGGGGACAGAACGGATAGGTGCATGAAGAAACTTTGTAGTGACGGAAATACAGTTGCCTTCTGAACAACATGGGGATTAGTGGAGCCAATTCATTAAGCAGTCGAAATTTGTGGATAACTTCTAATTCCCCCAAAGCTGAACTACTAAATAGCCTATTGTTGATTAGCAGCCTTACCCATAACATAAACAGTTGATTAACACATATCTTATACATCATATGTACTTTATACTGTATTATTATAATAAATTAGGCTAGGGGCACCTGGATGGCTGTCAGTTGGGTGTCTGCCTCCAAGGTAATGATCCCAGGGTCCTGGGATCGAGCCCCACATCAGGCTCCCTGCTCGACAGGAAGCCTGCTTCTCCCTTTCCCACTCCCCCTGCCTGTGTTCCTTCTCTCTGTCAAATAAATAAATAAAATAATAAAATCTTTTAAAAAATAAATAAAGTAGGCTAGAGAAAAAAAATATTAAGAAAATCCTGAGGAAGAAAAATTACATTTATAGTACTGTACTGTATTTGTCAAAAAAAATTTTGCATATAAGCAGACCCTCACAGTTCAAGCCCATGTTGTTCAAGAATCAACTGTATTCTATTTCTCAATTATGGTGATGTTTATAGGGATGGACAGATATAAGAAAAGACAGAAATATATAGATATAGATATCTACATCTAATTAGATACCTATATATTTGTCAAAACTCATCAAACAATACACTTAAAATGGATATATTTTTATAGTCTGTAAATTAAACATCAATAAAATCAGTATATTTTTAAAAAGCCTACTCAAGGACAGACATTTAGAGTTCTTCTCCATTTTTTCTGCCTCTGATCACTCACATGTACAACCTACAGCCTCAAGTCAAACAGCATTTGGCACCCACTGAAAGTCACTAACCAAAAGTACATATTTGCTAGATGTTAGAAACTGCAAAGACCAAATCTACTCAGACTGACTAAAAGAAAAGGGTCTCTCAATGGCCTTACTTCACAGATTTGGCGAGCCACGTCTGTGTTGAGGCGAGCAGTGTCTGCTTGGTGAGTGGCTATTTTACAAGTTGCTTCCTGTAGGACCTCCGCTACTTCCCTTTGTGATTTGACCACCTGCTGTAAGGATTCTGCATGGACCTGAAAATAAAAGAAAGTAAAAAGAGAACTTCTGTTATGTCTCAGTCTCTCCCCACTCCAAATTAGCTTTAATTTTAAAATTGTTTTATGGCACAAATGCCTTGTAAAACAAAACGTGTAGATTTCATATCCTGAAATCTAGAGTTTAGAGTCTCAAAATTATTGCTGGAGTTTAATTTTTAACTCCACCATTCACGAGTTGATGTTTCCTTAGACAATAAATACTATGTACCTCAGCTCCCACTTCTCTAAATTGGGGATAATTCTTAACTCACAGGATTGCTACCAGAGTCAAATGACATGAAATTAACCCAAATGGCATAATGTACTAAAGCATTATTATATCTTTCCTTTTTCACTCCTAGATAATTAAAAGAAAACTGAAGTGACTCCAAACATACAAATTTAGATTTACAAAACCAGTGCATGCTGAAAACCTAAGTACCTGAGCTGCTTTGTTTCGGGTTTCTTCTAATTGTCTCTGACATTCCAAAGCTTCTTGTTCAGCCTTCAATTTCAAAAGGGCCAAGTCTCTCTCGTGGCGTTGCTGCTGTGCCTTCAAAATAAAAAAATGATCAACTATTAATTCTAAGATACTACACCATTTTAACACAGTGACAATATTACCCGTAATACTACTTCTTAACATAATTTTTTTGAAGCAACCTGTTAGAACTTCAAGGAAAGACAGCAAATAGAATAGCCCTAAACTGTTATCAAACTATTTAATGATCACCTACTATGTGTCAAATAATGTAGTAAAATAAAAAATTTCCAAGGCACACAGGACTAAGAACTCATACAAAAAAGCTAGTTTTAAAGCAAAAGCTGCAGTGCCTAACTCTATAAGAGAGACTAAAATGTCCTATGTATAAAAATAAAGGTAACACTTCGCAACTCAGAATTTTAGGACTCCTTTATCCTGGCTTTACAGGAGTAGTTTCATGAAAATATTGCCCCAGAAAAGGTCTCCTCACCAGGACCTTTTCTTTCCACTATTTCATATAACATTATCAATCAATTTATATTTTTTCATTTCTTCTGGAATTGTGCTAAATACAGGTTTTCTAAAGGTAGAAAGACTGTATATAAAGTTATATAATGCCCTGTATAAATCTGGAAGCCCAGAATTATAATGTATCCCTAAAATGGTAGAAAATCTCAGTGCTATTTTGGATTTCAAGGTAATGGCCACTGCCATGGGGTCATTTCCCTAATCCAGTGATTTTTTTTTTTTAAGATTTTATTTATTTATTTGACAGACAGAGATCACAAGTAGGCGGGGTGGGGGGAGCAGGCACCCTCTGAGCAGAGAGCCCAATATGGGGCTCGATCCCAGGACCCTGGGATCATGACCTGAGCTGAAGGCAGAGGCTTTAACCCACTGAGCCACCCAGGCACCCCAATCCAGTGACTTTTAACCAAGCTCTTTTCAGTCCCTCCCCAGTCTCCATCAGGAAGACTTGGAAATGTCTGGGGGAGTTTTTGCTGTCCTGATGACCGGACAGCACTAATGTTGTTTATTGGGAGAGGTACAGGAATGCTCAACTCCTTGCAAAGTATGGGATAGTTTCACATAAAGAATGGTTTTAGTTATTTTGGGAAGAACAAATGCAAAACTAAATTGAGAAAAAATTATTTACAACAGCATCAGGAGACATAAAATATTTAAGAATAAATTTTAAAATGTGTAAGATCTGTACACTGAAAATTACACTGCAGAGAGAACTATTTTTAAAACCTAAATAGAAAAAGGTATCATGCTCACAAATTAGAAAATGCCATATTGTTTAGATGTAAATTCTCCCCCCAAACTGATCGACTGAATCAATGCCAGTCATACCAAAATCAACAAAAATAAAAAATCAGGCCCCCCTCTTTTTTGGTAGAAGCCAACAAACTAATTCTAAAAGCTATAGAGAAATGCAAAAACCTAGAATACCCAAAACCACCTTGAGGAAAACAAAACTGAAGTAATTACCCCCTGATTTCATGACTCACTCTAAGAACATAGTTAAACAGTATGGTACTGGCATTAAGGATAGGCATATAGATCAATGGAAAAGAAAAGAGTCCAGAAATAGACCTCCATATAAGTGATTACTTAATTGTTGGTAAAGGGGCCAAGATAATTTAAGTCTTTTTACGAAAATGTTGATGGAACAAATGAAAATCCAGATGGAGGAAAAGATGAACTCTGGTCCCTTCTTCACACTCCATAAGTAAGTAGATGGCTCACACACTTAAATATAAAAGCCAAAACTATAAAAGCTTTTTAGAAAAACATAAAAAAAAAATCTTTGTTAAAATATCTTAACATCTTAGGGTAGGCAAAGATATCTTAGAAAACAAAATGAACAGAAAAGAAAAAAATGAAAAACTGGATTTCATTAAAATGAAAATATTCTGCACTCAAAAAAATAGTTTAAAAATGAAAACACAAAAAAAAATTTTTTTAATTAAAAGGCAAGCTAAGGACTGAGAAACAGTATTTGAAATATATCTGAAAAGGACTTGTTTCTAGTTTCTATATGTAAAGGACTTCCATACAATCCTGTTATGAAACGGGCCAAAAGTATGAAAGACATTCACAAAGATGATATAAGAATGGTTAATAGGCACACAAAAAGATTATTAACCTCCTGAGTCATAAAAGAAATGCAAATTAAAACCACAATGATACTAGTTCACACTCACTAGAATGCCTAGAATACCAATGACAGCAAAAATGTGGAGCAACTGGGACTCTCACAGATTGCTGTATAAGATAATACAACTACTCTGGAAAACAGTATAGCAGTTTCATATGAAGTTAAGCATATACTTTTACTTGACCCAAGCAATTACACTCCTGGGTATTAAAGCAAGAAAAATGAAAACACACGTTGTATACAGAGTTGTAAAAATATTCTTATTTTTATGAACATGAATTCATATTCATAACAGAAATATTTATAATAGCCCAAACTGGAAACAATACAAATGTACATCAAGAGGATAAACTGTGTTACACTGATCAACGGAATATTACTCAGCAAAAAAGTAGCACGAACAAAACAATGGATATAGCATGGATGAATCTTAAAAATATTATGCCACATAAAATAAGCTAAACACAACAAAGTACAAAGGACAGTTCCATTATGCCTGTTCTAGAACAAGCAAAAAATGCTATGGTGATTAGGAATCAGAATGGTAACCGCCTCTGGGAGAGCGAATTAACTGAAAAGATCGCCCATGGGTGGACTGTCGGAAGCGACAGAAGTGTTCTCTATTTTGATTAGGGTCGTGGTTACAATTATCAAAACTCATCAAACTATGCACTTAAAATCTGTGTATTTTATTATATGTAAATACTAATTTTTTTTGTTTTTTTAAAGATAGCAACAGCAACTCCACATAAGAACACTGCTTCTACCTTTATTGGATTTTTGTTAGCTAAGGAAAAGTCCACGTTATCCTGGCTTTATCAAATACCTGGAACTCAGAAACTTTTCTTTTTGGTACAAATAAAGCATTAAAAACAAAACAATAAAAAGTCAGTCATCTCTGACTTGTCAGCAAAAGAAAATATTGAGAATTGCTTGATTAGCTGATTTTCAAAGTCATTTAAAAACAACCGAGGAAGAGGAAAATGAAATATTTGAGAGACAATGACTGAATTATTGTTCTGCTACCAAATATTCTATGTTTAACTTTTTTAGTACTCTATATGACAGTTTTCCCCAGGGCTATTTATAAGACTATTTTTTTCTACTAGGCAAGTAAGTTTTATGTGCCAGTTTGGTTTTTCACCTCATCATTGAAACTATTTTAAATACCAAAGAAAAGAGAAAAAGCACAGAAAGCTAAAGAGAAAATTCCACAAATACCTTTATGATCTGAGCCAGAGATACACTCTCCTGCTGAGCAAGTGATATGCCTCTAACTCTTTCCACATCCGACAGCTGGCGCACCGACTCCTCAATGGCACTCAGGTAACTGAGTTCTGCCGCCATACGGTGCTGGAGGCCCGCAGGAGAAAAGCGCTTAGAACCTGGAAGGCATAAGTGACTGTCATATGTAAGAGAAACAACCTCTCAGATTTCTGAAATTTATTTTTCATCTTAAGAACCAAAACGAGTTTGCTTTCCACTGCAGGAAAGACTGACTTCTTATTAGCACAGTGTACATTTTCCAGGTGTGTTCTGACTTAGGCTGGCAACGGGAAAAATCACCACTGTTGAATGTTTCATGCTTTTCAGTATTTCTTTTCCTGCACAATTCTGAATACTTCAAAGAGTAATCACATTCACTTGATGGGATAACATCTTCCTACAGTTCAACTGAAAGAAAAGGGATTTTAAGGGACTGAAGTCGTATCTTGAGTGACAACTGCACGGATCTACTTGCCTGATGTTGAGGCCGTCTCTGCGGTTGTTCTGCCGGCAGCAAGGTTCATATCGGTATAAGATGCATTAGGCTTAAATCCTGCTACAGATGGAGGCGTTATTACCGAGGATTTAGATCTTTCTAATGAAGTTCCTGGAAGGTCAGACTGCAACAATTTCTGAGAACTTGGAGACAGGGGAGAAGTTGGAGTTTTCTGAGATCTTCCCTTGTCTGATGAGACACTAGAAGTTTTGTTTCATATAAAGACGTTAGAAAAAGGAAAACTACTTCAAGAGCCAGCTAAACAATTCATAAGAACAGCATGTATTACATTCTTTATTGACATTTAAAAGGCTGTGACTCAGGCATTTAATCATTCAAACGTAGTCGCCATGTTGAATGAACGACTGAGTACTTTAATAAAACCAGGAGATAGTTTTCAAAGATAGACATTTCTCTTAAACACAGCATATAAATATTTGAATAAAAGTAGTCTTGAGAGGCACTCACTTGTTTACAGTGACCTTTAATTTACTATTGGTGGTTTAGAGAACTACTATTTCTCATAGTCTGACAACCTCATTTATGGAATAGAAAACGAATTTATTACTTCTTTTACTAGATTTCCAAAAAAGAATTCCAACACAATATCAAAATCAAGTATGCCTGAATCTCACTTTTGGTTTTACAAGCTGAATTTGTATTTGCTCTGCAGAGAAGATTCACCTAGACTAGCATTTCCAAAACTATGCTTCCAACGATGTTAATAAATTTTCCAAAAAATAAAAAGGACAGAAAAGTAAAGAGCTTGGGGACAGAGAATGGCTATAGCCAAATAAGTAAAGAAAAAAATAAGTTAAATATTGTTTTAAAAATCTGAGCACTTCTTCATCAAAGCCTCATATCATAGGTGAGGAAGGTGGCAGGGGAAGTCTATTCTATAGTATGGGACATTTATCAAACTTATCTGGCTGTGAATTCTTTTTTAGAAAGGTTTAACTTTGTTGATTTTGCCAAATAAATCATCAGAATATCTCTAAAGAAAGGTAAAGTTTTCTGACAAAAAAAATTAAAATTCAATTTTAAATACAGTAATAATGGTATTAACAATATAAGATTTACAACATGAAAGCATTAAAATTAATTATCTGTATGTGACACCATATTAGAAAGAGCAAACAGTTAGTTTTGAAGAAAAAAATAAATCCATGTCTTCTCGGAGCTTAAACTTCCAGAAGGACCAAATTAGTGCAACACATAAAAAGCCATGCAGACAAAGGAATAGAAACTGCACATGAAGCAATCACAAAAGATTATATATAAGCAACAGGCTCAGTGTATAATACCGTATGATATTAAAAAGAAGGGGAAAAGATAGTATGCAAGCTCTCTGTAAACAATATGAGAGTGAGATTTCAAAATCTGCTTTTGAGTCATCAAATAAGTTGAGAGAAAAGTTCACAGGAAGAAAGGTAATGAGACAAAAGGATGCTATATAGGTGTGTTTAAAGGGTGGATGAACAAAGATGAGGAGAAATGTAGAGAGAAAAGAAATGAGGCAGTCTGTGGTAGCCTAGTGAAACACTTCAAATAAAGTTAAGTTCTTGGGAATTCATCTACAGAGCAGCTGTGAGCTCCCAGGGTAGCCTAAGGAGGGCAGTTGGTTGGTCAGAGGATTGATTCAAGATAACAACAATGGTAATGGCAATTAGAATAGAAAGGGGGATTGCCACAGAGGCAAAGCATTCCCGAGAGAGGCTGTAATAGTTTAGGTGAGAGATGACCATATCCTAAAATATAAAGACCCCAGCTATGAACAAAACTCCAAAGTCTCTTCAGGAAATACAGCAATTTATTGAATGGATTCTCTGAACATCGATGATGCTATAACTTTAATTAATATCAATTACAGGTATAAAATATACATTACCTTACAGAATGCCCAGAAAGATCTTCCAAAATGCTATCAGTGTCAAGAGTCTGCTCATAATCTTTAACAGAAAGTTTGCTACTGGTCCCAGATTTCTTTCCCTGATGAGAGTCACGTTCCGAGCCAGAGTGCACTTTCTCCTCATCAACGAGTGAGTTCTGAACATTTCCAGTGATTGAATCCAGCCCTATAAAGCAAATTTCTTATAAAACTGATTCCCAATGTCAGAAGCTACCAAGAAATAATTGATACCTGTATTTCAAGAAAGTAATGCAATGTACATATCAGACTTCTTTTAACGTTATTTTTCATATAAAAAATAAAGTAGTTCATCCTTCTGTTTCCATTTAAGAAGAATAAAGTTTCTTCCATTAACATCCCCCACTTGCTGCTAAAAAATAAATTGCTAAATCGAATGGTAAAGAAGACAAGCATATTAAATAAGAATGAAGTACTATTCTATCCCTATGAAAAGACTTTTAAAGATAAAACCCAGAGCTGGGAGAAAAATAGTATCGAAGGCCAACTGAAGTACACAATCATTCTGAAAAACTTTTTGACAAGAACTACGTAGCCAGATTCATAAAACTTCTCATATTCTCTCAGAATAATCTTACTTCTAGGAATATCTTAAGGAGATTATTGAAATAAATAAAAATTATGTATAATATTGAATGTATAACTTTAAAAATTTTTGACCTGAATCTCCAACAATTGAAGAGTTGTTTAAATTACATAGAAAACAGTAACTTGATCATTAATTAACTAGCACTTTGAAATGAGTGCATTTTAAATTACATTTAAAATGCACTCATTTTAACTGTACAGTTGGTTAAGCAACTGCCTTCAGCTCAGGTCATGATCCTGGAATCTGGGGATGGAGTCCCACATCGGGCCCTCTGCTTCTCCATATGACCTTTCCCCCTCTCATGCTCTCTCTCTCATTGTCTCTCTCTCAAATAAATAAATAAAATCTTTAAAAAAAAAAGGGGGGGCCTCATGACTCTTAGTCATGACTAAGACTCTAGTGCAGCCTGATTTTATGTTTCAACAGCAACATGAGAAAACACTTGTTACATTTAAAAAAACAGAAAAAAGAAGAGCACATACACTTTAATGATAGCAAAAATTTTCTAATGTAGATAGATGGTTAAAGATCCAAAGAAAATGAAAAAGGAAACAATTATGCTGCACACCCATGTTCACAGCAGCATTATTCACAGTAGCCAAAAGATGGAAGCAGCCCAAGTGTCCTTCAACAATGAATGAATAAACAAAATGTGGTATTTACATACAATGATATGTTATTCTGTCTTGAAGGACATTCTTTTTATTTATTTATTTTTTTTTTTGAGTAAGCACACATGCATGTGTGCCCATGAGAGGTGAAGGAGGCAGAGGCAGGAGAGAGAGAATCCCAAGCCAAGGTGCTGAGCATGGAGCCCAAAGCTGAGCTTGATCTCAAAACCCTGAGATCACGACCAGAGCTGAAATCCAGAGTCCAATGCTTAACTGACTGAGCCACTCAGGTGCCCTAAAAGGAAGGACATTCTGACACCCACTACAACACAGATGAATCTTTGAGCACATTATGCTAAAATAAGCCAATCACAAAAGGACTAAATTGTATGATCATACACTTATATGAAGTACCTAGTATAGGAAAATTCATAAAGACACAAAGTAGACATTTGTTACCAGAGGCAAGGGGGGTTGGAAAATGAGAGTTATTACCTAGAGGAATAGAGTTTCAGCTGGGGATGATGAGAAAGTTTTGGGGATAGACAACAGTGATAGCTGCACAACATGAATGTACTTCATAACACCGAACTATACACTTAGCAACGGTTAAATTGCCTAGTCAAATTCAAAGACAAAAAAGTAGAATGGTAGCTGCCAGGAGTCCAGTGAGGAGGGAGGCAACAACCAAGGAATGGGAAGGCACTGTTTACTTAATGGGCCCAGAGTTTTACTATGGGAAAATAAAAAAAGTTCCAGAGATGGATATGATAATGGTTGCAAACAGTGAAAAACAAATCAAAACAAAACGAAAAAACCCAACCCCTCAATGCCACTGAACTGTACAGTTAAAATGGTTAAAATAAGGGGTAGAAGGTATTTGCAAAGGATATATTCAATAAGGAGTTAATATCCAAAATAGATAAGAGAACTGACACAACTCACCACCAAAAACCCCCAAATAATCTTAGTTAAAAATTTAAATAATCTTCCTTAAAAATTTAAATCTTATTTAAAAATAATCTTATTTTAAAAACCCTTATTTAAAGGGGCGCCTGGGTGGCTCAGTGGGTTAAAGCCTCTGCCTTCAGCTCAGGTCATGGTCTCAAGGTCCTGGGATCGGGCCCCATATCGGGCTCTCTGCTCAGCAGGAAGCCTGCTTCCCCTTCTCTCTCTGCCTGCCTCTCTGCCTACTTGTGATCTCTCTCTGTCAAAATAAATAAATAAAATTTTAAAAAAAATCTTATTTAAAGAACCTGAATAGACATTTTTCCAAAGAAGGCATACACATGGCCAACAGACATGTGAAAAGATGCTCAATATCAGTAATCAGCAGGGCAATGGAAATCAAAACCGCAATGAGGTATCACCTCACACCAGTCAGAATGGCTAGCATCAAAAAGATAAGAAATAACAAATGTTGGTCAGAACATGGAGAAAAGGAAATCCTTCTGCACTGGTGAAGGAAATTTAAATTGGAACAACCATTGTGGAAAACAGTACAGAGGTTCCAAAAACGGAACAAAAACGGAGATACCATACATACAATCTGGTAATTCCACTACCGGGTAATTATTCAATACTAATTTGAAACACTAGTTTGAAAAGATATATGCACCCCGATGTTTACTGCAGCATTATTTAAAATAGCCAAAATATGGAAGCAACCTAAATGTCCATCAGTAGATGAACGGCTAAAGAAGATGCATTGTACATACACGCACACACACAAAAACACACACACGGAATATTATTCAGCCATAAAAAAGGTGAGCTCTTGCCATTTGTGACAACATGGATGGACCTAGAAAGTATTACACTAAGTGAAGTAAGTCAAAGAAAGACAAATACCTTTTTATTTCATATGTGGGAATTTAAGAAACAAAACAAATGAACAAACAATAAAATAAAGCAGAAACAGATCCACAGATACAGAGAACAATCTTGTGGCTGTCTAAGGGGAAGCGGGGTAGGTGGATGGGCAAAATGGGTGAAGGGGAGTGGAAGATACAGGCTTCCAGTTATGGACTAAGTCACAGATATGAAAGGTACAGCACAGGAAAAATAGTCAACAGTATTGTAATAGCACTGCATGGTGACAGATGGTAGCTACGCTTGCGATAAGCATAGTATAATTATAGTTGTCAAATAACGATGTTCTACATTTGTGACTAACTGTGTGTCACCTATACTTCAATTAAAAAAAAGTGTTTGGGTGGCTCAGTCAGTTAAGCATCCAACTCTTGATTTCAGCTCAGGTTTTGACCTCAGGGTTGTGAGTTCAAGCCCTGCATGCTGGATGTGGAACCTACTTTAAAAAAAAAAAAAAAAGTGTGGTGATGACCTCCCCATGAGAATATGCTCCTCACGAAGGACCTCCTCCACCTTTCCAGAAGAGGAGAAGAGGAAGCATAAGAGGAAGCACCTAGTGCAGAGCCCCAACTCCTACTTCATGGAGGTGAAGTGCCCAGGGTGCTAAAAAATCACCACTGTCTTTAGCCACGCACAAACGGTAGTTTTGTGTGCTGGATGCTCCACTGTCCTCTGCCAGCCTCCAGGAGGAAAAGCCAAGGATTACAGGAAGCTCCTTCAGACAGGGGCAGCAATAAAAGCACCCTGAAACAAGATGAATGGGAAACTATCCCAATAAACAGATTTTGGATTAAAAAAATAAAAAGAGAAAACAAAATCAAAGAAAGAAAATAATATTTAAAATGGCAATTTTTATATTGGGTGTATTTTACCACATAAAAAATAAACTAATAAATAAATATACTCTGCTATAGTGACAGTAATTGGATAACAACTTTTCATTAAAATTTAGTTTAGGGGCGCCTGGGTGGCTCAGTGGGTTAAAGCCTCTGCCTTCGTCTCAGGTCATGGTCTTAGGGTCCTGGGATGGAGCCCCGCATCACGCTCTCTGCTCAGCAGGGAGCCTGCTTCCTCCTCTCTCTCTCTCTGCCTGCCTCTCTGACTACTTGTAATCTCTATCAAATACATAAGTAAAATCTTAAAAAAAAAAATTTAGTTTAAAAAAGGAAAAATGAAAACAGTCATAGCATATGAAAAAATAAACAAAGAAATGAAAACCACCTCAAATAAGATACCATTTTTCATTATCAGATTAGCAAGTATTTTTAAAATAATAGTCTTGAGTGTTATTCAGCACACAGAGAAAAGGATACTTATACACTGTTTTCAAGGGAGTGCAAATCAGTATTTTCTTTTTGGAGAACAACTTAAAATATACATAAAATAATTTTTGATCCCCCTTGACCCAGAAATTTCATCTCATTCATAGTAATTCATCCTAGGAACCTACGTAAAGATGTGTACCATGAATTAGATATGCTGAACGCATTACCACAAAAAGGTGGGGAGGGGGAGACACATGCAAATAATCTAAATGATTATCCATCAGTTTGAATGGACTCTCTAATCTAAAACCTATTTATAATCCCTAGACTAAAAGCAAGTTATCAATACTGGGTATCTCTAATTTTTTCATAATAAAAATGCATTTCTTTACTCATTTAATATTAGCCTTTTTTTTAAAGATTTTATTTATTTATTTGACAGAGAGAGAGATCACAAGTAGGCAGAAGAGCAGGCAGAGAAGGCGGGAAGCAGGCTCCCCGCTGAGCAGAGAGCCCGATGCAGGGCTCGATCCCAGGACCCTGAGACCATGACCTCAGTCAGAGGCAGAGGCTTAACCCACTGAGCCACATAGGTGCCCCCATTATTAGCCTTTGAAAAGAAATACACAATTTAAAAATTGCTCTTCATTTCAAACAACCAAAAATTGTAGACAATACAAAGGACTATGCAAAAAGAACTAAACTCCAACCAAGGGACCTATACACAAAGGAAGTATGTGCCACTACTTTAAAAGATTGCCAAACGAGGGGCGCCTGGGTGGCTCAGTCTGTTAAGCATCTGCCTTTAGCTCAGGTCATGATCCCAGGGTCCTGGGATCAAGCCCTGCACTGATCTCCCTGCTCCAATAGAGTCTGCTTCTCTCTTTCTCTCTTCCTCTGCCTCTGTGCATGTTCACGCTCTCCCTCCCTCTTAAATAAATAAAATCTTTAAAAAAAATAAATAAAAGATTGCCAAATGAAAGTATATTTATAGGTTCCAAATTAAATTAAGATAAAAAAATTTTTTCTTATGATCACCACTTTAATCTACCAACTACTTGCAGCCACGTTGGGAAGTTTTTATACAGAGCAAGCAGATGCTACTTCTCACCACCAGATGGAGTATATACAACAAAAATTACATTAATTTTAGAACTTAGGGATAAAGGAGAAACTAAGTTTTAGATAATGCTGCATAAAGTACAATACATAGAAATTTTTTAAGGCATTATGAGAGGGGATTAGGGAAACGGAAAGCCATAAAACACTACCTACACTTCATCTAATTATGTTTTAGATAACAATTTTTAAAAACCTATATTGAATCATATTGCTTATAGATATATATTCAACATATCATGATATTTTAAATTGTACAGTATATTATAGTAGAAGATAAACTAGATTTAAGAATCAGAAGTCATAATCCAGGCTGTGCCAATAACTAGTTGGTAACCTTAGGTTTGACACTAAAAAAACAAAGCAAAACAATTGCAAAGTAAAAGAACTGAATTAAGTTCAGCATTTCCCAAAATACATTCAGCTGAATTCGAATGCATTAACATGCTGACGGAAGAAATGACTCTGTGGTCAAATAAATTTGGAAAATACTTCATACCGCAGCCTCATCCTCATCCTAAAATAAACAATGCATGTTAGCATATTAGGAGTATTGATAAATCCTGCAGAAACCAAGCTGGTCTCACTCTAAAAGCATTTCCCAAATTTATGGAACCATGGAGCTCTTCTCTACTCAGAACACTTAGGAAAGTGCTTATCCAAATGAAACAGTATTTCACAAGAAAAGACAGAGATTGGGAAGTGCTATCAGAATGATGTCTAATTGCCACCAAAAACTTTCAGAACAATCTGCAAGAGAGTTAATGATTAAGTAATAATTTCTCCTAGCACTCTCATAATGGGAGCACAAAGTGGCATTAGCTTTCTGAGGGGTTATTTGGCAAAGTGTACCCAAATTCTGAACATGACATACTCTTTGCCCCATTACCTCATTCTAGAATTTCAGCTTAAAGGAAAGAACCAGATTAATGCATAAAGATGCATTTATAAGGATATTCAATGCAGCAGTGTTCGTAATGGAAAAGAAGAAATACAATAGCCTAAACGTCCAACAATTTGGTAAATAAATTATACCAAAATAGTAAAACACTGGCTAGTCTTTACAAGGGTGATTCATATTTACTGACAGAGAAAGAGATCTATAACCCACTGACAGAACAAAAGAGCATGTAAACAAATGTGGTCCCTCATGTAACATTTCCTTTTACATATGTCTACAAATTATCTGGAAGGACTCTCACTAAAAATCTTAACATTTCACAATCAACAGAATGTCTATTACTTAAAAAACAACAACAACCAAAAAAAAAACACGGGAAAAGAAAACAAGTGTTGGTGTGGGATGTGAAGAAGCTGGAACCTGTGTGCATTACTGGTGGAAATGTAAAATGCCAGAGCCACAATGGAAAACAGTACGACATTTTCTCAAACAGTTAAACACAGACCATTTGATCCAACAAATGCATACCTGGCTATATACAAAAAACCTGAAAGCAGGGACTCGCAACAGTTATGTGTATACTAATGCTTATGTCAACATTATTCACAATAGCCAAAAGGTGTAAACCAGAATGTCCATCAAATGATAAATAGATAAACAAAATGTGATGTATTCACACAACAGAATATTATTCGGCCTCAGAAAGGAAAGACATTCTCATGTAAGTCAACACACAGATGAAACTTGAAAACATTATGCTACTGAGCCGAACTAAAGGACAAATTTTGTATGATGTCATTATGTAGCATCTAGAAGTATCTAGAGTAGTCAAATGCATAGAAGGTAGAACAATGGTTTGCAGGGGCTGGGGAATTGGAGGAAGAAAGAGTTAGTGGATACGGAGTTTCAGTATGGGATGATGAAAATGTTCTGGAGATGGATGGCAGTGATGGTTGCACAGCAGTTGAATGTTTTTTAATGACAATGAACTGTAGAATTGAAAATGGTTACGATGATGGGGCGCCTGGTTGGCTCAGCTGGTTAACCGATGCCTGGCCTCTGGCTCAGGTCATGATCCTGGAGTTTCCCGGGATAGGGTTTCACATCAGGCTCCCTGCTCATCTGGAAATCTGCTTCTCCCTCTGACCCTCCCCTCTCTTGTGCTTTCTTTTTTGTTAAAGATTTATTTATTCATTTATTTGACAGAGAGAGAGAGAGCATTAGCAGGGGGAGCAGCAGGTAGAGGGAGAGGGAGAAACGGAGTGTCCACTGAGCAAGGAGCCTGACATGGGGCTCGATCCCAGGACCCTGGGATCATGACCTGAGCTGAAGGCAGACGCTTAACTGACTGAGCCACTCAGGTGCCCTGTGCTCTTTCTTTCTCTCAAATAAATAAATAAAATCTTTAAAAAATAAAATGGTTAAGATGATAAAGTTTATGTTATGTAAATTTTACCACAATTGTTAAAATAAAACAAAGTTCAAAAAACATTAGCATTGGTTTTTTTCAAGTAGAGGGATAATAGGTGATTTTAATTTTTAAATAGTTTTTTGGTTTTTTTTTGTTGTTGTTGTTGTTGTTTTTTTACTGATTTCTACTCCCCTTGTGGTTTGTTAAGTCAATGAACAATTTTTACAATTAGAAAAAACAATTTGGGGAGCAAAATTATTCCCTAGGGATCATCCTTTGAGTGTAAGAGGCTTTTCCTAATTACTTTATCTTCTTATGTCTAGGCTTACAGAGCAAATTATAGCCAAGAGTAGAACTGAAGGGACGGATAGATGTTCTCGTCAATCATTCAAAAATACTTGAGTGCCAAAGGGCAGCTACAGTGGCCAAATACTGGCATGTATACATTCTATCTATTAATTTCACATATACTTCCAAAATTACCACACAAAGCACCTACTGATACCACTTACTGATATCATCTTTATTTTAGAGATAAGAAAATTTGAGTACTTTTAATTATGCTTGAAATGTACAGGATATACTCTAAAGTTTTTTTAAAAGTAGTTGCAAAACTAAATGATTTCATTTGTTTTTTTAAATAAAGGGGTGTGTGTGTGTGTGTGTGTGTGTGAACATGGTTTTATGTATACATTGGAAAAACAGGCACAAAAATGTTAATAGTAGTTATCTCTCAGCAGGGGGATCAGTGGGGACTTAAACTTCTTTTACAACTGTTTATCCATAATCCTTAATTTTTTATCATTGCAAATGTATTCCTTTTGTATTAAGCAAAGGATTTATACTGTTATAGATCAGGAAGGTACTGTTATAGTGATAAATATGAAAACTATCACATTTTATCATAAAGAAATTCATCTAACTTCTTATGGAATCAAATTATAACTTTAGATCACTACCACAAAAGGATCGGTAAGAGAAAAAAAATCACCACGTAGAATTCCTCTTACATTCTATCTTTTCTTTTTTTCCTTTCTTCCCTTTAGAAGAAGTAGATGAACGAGACGATGCAGCGGACTGGGCCCCTGACGAATGCTGGGAGGTAACATCCACAGAGGACAGATCGTAGGCAGACTTTCTGCTAGAATGGTCCTCCTGAATGCCCAAATTGCTACCACCAATACTGTCAAAGAACAAGCAATAGTGGTTAAAGAACAAAATAAAAGTCTTAAAACACAGCTAGAACTATGGATATTTTAAAATCTATTTAATCACAAGGAGGATATAACTATAATTGAAGATGCCTTCCACTTTTCTTTTTTGTTTTCTTACGATCATAAGCTTGGATTGTTCCCCATGGCTCAATTTATTATTGAGAAAAATCTAAAGGGAGTTGTCTACTGAAGTAAAAACCAATTAAAAAAATGGATAATTCAGACACATAGAAGAAAAAATATAATGCTGGAAACTAGAAAATAAGGCCTCAACTTCCATTCAAATTCACTGTTTAATGTTATAATTATTTTCTTTTTTTTTTTTGTTATAATTATTTTCCACCCAATAATATGTTCTTCAATCTAGAAATAAAATAGAATAAATCATCTTGATTGGTGATATTAAATCTTTGGAAATTTTGATTTAAAAATATAATCTTTTCTTTAGAGTTCAAAAGTTAAAACTATACTTTTCCCACTTTAACTTGAGTAACATTTATTTTCATAAGTTTAACCAGACAGAACTAATTTTCAAAAGATCACCCAATAATTTTATATGGATTATAATTTGTAATTTGTGAAGAAAATTATATTGAATGTGAGTAATAACAGATTACTTCATCTGGTAACAAAATTTAGGGAGGAAATTCTCTCTAGCGAAGTCTGATTCACTTACTGTATGACTTTGTACAAGTAACATAACCTGGATGCTTCAGTTTCCTCTCTGAAGCAGGAACGGTAACAAAAATACTTAATGCATCAGGCTATTATAAGAATGAGTAAATACAAGCAAAGTCCCCCTCAGTCCTCTCAGTGCCTTGGACATTTTGTCCAACAAATATTAATACTGTAATACTGTTATTTTTCAAAGACTTGAAAAAGTTTAGATGTTCTCCCAATTAGGAAAAAAAATGTACTGATTTACTTGGGAGCACGGAGTCAAGGATCTACCGATGTCATCCTCAATTCTATCATAGAAAACCATTAGTTAATCTTATATTAGCATACCATGGGAGAGTTTCCCAATACCATCCTCTACCAGGGATTCACAGATTGACTTAAGAGTGTATAATCTGCTTATTGTGTGCCAGGCCGTGTTCTAAGTACTCTGTATTTCACTGAATATTCATAACACTCTATGACGCAGGTATGATTATTTTCCCCATTTACAGAGAAGGAAACTGAAGCACAGGGGGTTAAGTAATATGCCCAAAGACAAACAACTACTATCAGAAGAGCCAGGATTTAAAGCCAGACAGTCTGGATCCAGAGCCCATGTTTTTAATAAGCTCTATGCTATGCAGCCTCTACATGTATCTTTAAACAAACAAAACTGACTCATAGTCACACCACAGTTCTCATTTGTAAATTTTCCTCACTCCTTGGATTTTATCCCATGTCAACATATCCTTACTTAGGTTCGAGAGCTGATTTTCTTTCTGTCAAAGTCCCACTCCCTGGAGAGGAGACAAAATCATCTTCATACGAAACACTGCTTACAGGGGTTGTGATGGTATTTAAAGGCCGTGATGCTGAGGTTCCTCTTTCCAACCTATCTTCAAACCCTGTCAAAAGTAGTTGTTGAAACGTCCTTAAAACAAAAATAAAAAGACTACAGGCAAAGCATTCCACAATATGCAGATTAACAACATGGATTTAGGAACATTTTAGTTGGCGTTTTTAATGCTTCTATTCAATCTATCTTTATATCTAACAATACATTTTTAACTTTTTATTAGGGAAATTTTCAAACATACAAGAAAGAAAAAATAGCATGATGAAACCAAGGTATACACCACCTGGCTTTAGCAATTATAAATACGTGACCAATCTAGTTTCAACTAAATTTCCTATTCTCCACACTTCTCACTCTCCTCTCAGACTACTTTGAAGCAAATCCTAGATAACATATCATTTCAACTCAAAATTTCAGTATAATTATAAAATCTTCATGAAAATCCAGTAAGATTAAAGAAAAAAATACAATTCTTAAAAAAAAATGAGGATGTTGATTTAACAGCACTTTGCTTTTAACTTCTGCTTTTCAGTTTTTTTAAAACTTTAAAATTACCACCTATAGGAATAAGTGTAACAGGAGATCGATGGCATGGTTAGGTCTGCACAAGATCAGAACAAAGTAGCCAAATACAAATCCTAGGAAAATGCACCGCCCAGTTAAGCATAAAATGAAAAGATGAAATCAATTCATTTATCAAGTAAGTTGTTCACTGTGCAGAATGAAAATAAAAAACCACAGCGTATTAATAGCTGACTTAAGGCTCAGCCTCATTCTCCAACCTGGAAATTCTAAAGTTATGTTAGCATAAAATGGGTAGAACCCACCTAGAGTAGGAAGAAAAGAGAAAGTGACTTGAAGGAATTACCATAGAAAAGGAAACCTGTATTGCAGTATTTCAAAGATAAGAAAGAAACTTTAGAAGTCAGTTGTTTCATGATCCAAATACACGTAGCTACATTTCTGTTCAAAGTCTAATTTTTTCCAGATTTTTTTATTTAGGTAATCTCTAAACCTAATGTGGGGTTCAAACTCACAACCCCAAGATCAAGAGCAAAGTCTGACTATTTCTAAAATTAGTTTTGACAAGTAGTAATAGTTTCCATATTAGGATGTTACTACAGTTGCCCCCTCTCAATTCTTGACCATTATATTCCCAATGACTCACAATCGCTGTATTAATATACTTATTTTCTATCTAAACACATAACAATGGTCACAGAAAATCTAGCACACACTTGGCACAGACCAATCCTGAATACCACAAATGAATTTCTCTAAAATTAGAACAAAATTTCTACAACTATCAATTATTGGTTCATGACAATAACAACCAAAAAAAAATGTTAATGATGAAATTACAGTACTTTAGTTAAAGCTTACAGATAATTCTGATTGATAAATCTCTATTATCCTCATAAATGAACAAATGAAAATTTGTACTTAAGTATTACCCTGTACAGAATTATTAAATGATTTATCTTAAGATAACATATAAATAAGCACAAGGCTTTCTTCTTTTTCTCACCTTTTCCATACAACTGATACGACTTCGTAAAAATATTAATGACACTATGTGGACTTCCTTTTGCCAATTCTTCCCACGGTCCTTTGCTTTGTGTACTACCTATGTGCCCAAAAAGCGGCAAGAATTTTTCAGCTTCCTTCTGAAATTCTTTGATGGGTTCATAACCATTTCTTTCTCCAGCACAAAATTCCTTTTCCTTTAAGATTTCTGCTACCTTCAATGGGGGGGGCTGTCCATTTTGGCCTCCCTCTTCTTCAGAGAGACTCCCCTCACTAAGAAGAGGCCCTTCGCTGACTGAATCTGTGCTAGAACCAAGAGACAATTTGGCTTTGTCTTGAGAAGCTTGCATATCAGAACTAGAAGAGTCAGTCTGCCTCTTACACAACTGTGCCAGGAGCCCTTCTGGCTTGGGACCAGGGGATCTCATTCTGAATCTTGATATGGCACTATGAGGTCTTATCATTTCAGGAAGCTTTTTAAATTCACTCAGGTTGCCTACACCAGGAAGATCATCATCAAAAGTTGCATGAGATACACAGGTTCCTATCATCTTTTGAATTCGGGCAGAGAAAACATCTTCAGGATCCTCTTTCACAGGTGGACTTACAGCCTTGGTCCACAGTCCCTCTTCTTGGGGTGTTTGCTGTACATCATACTCAGCGTTCCATACTGACCCATAGTTTATGTGAGCCCCAGCTAATTTCTTGGCTTCACTTTCAATCCTGCTGGACAGAGAAGCAGCTGTTGCTTTCAAGGCTTCAATACGATCCAGTTTACTCTTATACTGGCTGGCACTAGGTTTTAACAAGGCATCTGGATGAGCAGCTGGTGAGGTCAGATACGGTTGAGGTGTAAAAGTTAATGGCCCTGAGGCCATAGTATGATTCTTTCTGGTTGGTAAAATAGATTCAAAATCCTTATGCAAAATTCCTACATGCTCTAGACTCAAGAGATGGGACAGTAAATTTCCGGCTGTTCCAACAAGAGGCTGTGGTTGAGGATTCTGGACTCGTGGGCTTAGTCTGTCAGGCTGCACCCATGTAGGTTCCATCAAGTCCCTTCTGGAAATGAAACTCATAGTATGTTAGTTAACACAGTAATTCATCATTAAGCCACCAGCTTTTTTTTTTTTTTTTTACTTTTTTTTTCTTAAAAGAAAATGCACATTCACCACCGGAATAAAAAAGGACAGGTAAAGAGGATAAAAAAGATAGCGATCACTCATAGTTAAACAATGAGAAAGCGGCACTACTAGTATTTCATTTAGAATTATAACTTTCCAAAGATTTTTCTATGTGTGTGGTGTTTTGGCGTTGTTATTTTCATAAAAATGGAATGCTATCATGCAAACTGCTTTCTTCAACTAACACATATTTTTAAACTATTAATTAAAGAGAAGGCTTTATAACCTTTAAAACTCTGTGAACAAAATTCTTTACAACATAGGCTTTACCCGTTTCTTTTAAAAGTAATGTTATACAAGGGTGCCTGGTGGCTCAGTCAGTTAACCGCCTGCCTTTGGCTCAGGTCATGATCCCAGGGTCCTGGGTTCAAGACTGACATCCAGCTTCCTACTCAGCAGTGATTCTGCTTCTCCCTTTCTCTGTGCCCCTCTGCCCCCACCTGTGCTCTCTTGCTTGTGCTCACTTCCTCTCAGAAATCTTTTTAAAAAATTAAAATTTAAAAAAACTAAAATAATGCTCTATTAAAGAGAAATGCTTGAGATTGCTAAATACTAACATAGGCATCATATTCATTATTCCAATCAACAAATATTTAGTGAATATTTATGTTTAATATTGTACATACTGAAGAAATAAGGAGATTATTACAATCTCAATTTAAAAAAATAACAGGAGCGCCTGGGTTGCTCAGTGGGTTAAGCCTCTGCCTTCAGCTCAGGTCATGGTCTCAGGGTCCTGGGATCGAGCCCCACATCGGGCTCTCTGCTCAGCAGGGAGCCTGTTTCTCCCTCTCTCTGCCTGCTTCTCTGCCTACTTGTGATCTCTGTCAAATAAATAAATAAATCTTTAAAAAAAATTAACAAATCTCAACGAGTATCAATGCAAAATTATAAATACCAATTTTATATATACAATACAGAGTAGGGTGTTCATTAAGTCTAAAAACAGAATAAAGACGTCCCAGATGGCATTATATAAATAACGTATGTTTCTAGACCATGGACACCCTGTATATTAAGGGATATTATAAAAACATGAAAGGTCAATATTAACTATTAAGTAGATGCTTATTAAAAAACAACATGAGAGGCGCCTGGGTGGCTCAGTGGGTTAAAGCCTCTGCCTTCAGCTCAGGTCATGATCTCGGGGTCCTGGGATCGAGCTCCACATCGGGCTCTCATTCAGGAGGGAGCCTGCTTTCCCCCCACTCTCTCTCTGCCAGTCTCTCTGCCTATTTGTAATCTCTGTCTGTCAAATAAATAAATAAATAAATAATCTTTAATGAAAAAAACAAAAAACATGAGATTCTGTCCTTGGTCTTGTCCATTATTTTTGGATGATGACAAAGATATGCTTATCAAATTTGCAGATGACAGAAAGCTAGGAGGCATGGCTAACCTAAAAAATTATCAAATTATGATTCAAAGTGACTTGGACAGGCAGCAACCTTGACCAAACTAGTATGGATAAATGTGAAGGCTTACCAACTAAATTCAGAAGAATCACCTAGAGGAGGGTAACCAGAGTGATAAGAGAATTGGAAAGCACGTCACGCAAGGTTTGGTTGGAAGTCATGCTGTACTGTCTTTTGTTTTGAAGTGTTGCTAAGAAAATAGAATGAAGGAAGACTAGAACATAGACTCTATGCCACAAAATATAAAGTGTGAGGTTATTAGCGCTCAAACTAAGCTGCAGTAATGGGAATATAAAGGAAGTTGTAAATATAAATGATATTGTTGAGTAAAAATTCAAGACCTTTAAATTCAAGTATTTAGAATGCCAATTATGTGCCAGGCACTATGTTGACACTAGAGGAACAGGGGAGACAAAAATCCAGTTAATCCAGTTAAGACTTAATCCTTAATCTTTTGTTTCTCAAGATCTAGCGGGGATAAGAGACTAATAGTTAAAATACAATGCCTTAAGTACTATATAAAGATATATAAAATTCAATAGATTGTGTATAGAAAATAATAAACTCTGCTAGCCAAGGAAAGTGGTTTTTGAGCTAGATCTTCAGGTTCTTCAAGGTCAGATACATTGTAATTTCGAGTTTCTCAGGTAGCTAATGAAGAACATAGGATATGAAGGTCAAGGAAAAGAAAATGATGCTTCCAAGCATAAAGTAACTGAGATATGTTGAAACTACTAACAGAAATGGGGAACCTAAGAAATGGGTGGAGGGGAAAGTGGAGGCAATAGATTATATCTCATAAGTTAAAGAAATTTGATATTAAAAAGAAAAGGAAAGGAACATGTGCAAATTAATAATATATAATAGATCTGTTTTACATTTGGTTTGTTTTTAAGACTGGATAACTTATTTAGAATTAGAAGAAAATTCAGGGAAGGGTAAAATAGAAGACAGGAAGCCAGCAAAGTATGTCTGACAATAATAATGGGACTGAAATGAACTGGAAAGTACACCTACCTAAAGGTATTCAAATTAAAAGAAAAAAAATTTTTTTAAGATTTTTTACTTATTTATTTGACAGAGAGAGAGACACAGCAAGAGAGGGAACACAAGCAGGGGGAGTAGAGGAGAGAGAAGCAGGTGCCCCACTGAGCAGAGAGCCCGATGCAGGGCTCAAACCCAGGACCCTGGGATCATGACCTGAGTAGAAGGCAGACGCCTAATGACTGAGCCACCCAGGTGCCCCTCGAAAAAGTTTTTAAAGTTTACTTATGCTTGAAATTTGAAAGGTATTTACAACCTTAAATAAATCATATGAAACTTAGTAGGAGGCAATGTGTAGACTGGTTAAAAGTACAGATTTCTGGAATTAAACTGCTTAAGTTCAAATCCCTCTCCACCACTAATGTTTTGACCTTTGAGAAAGTTAAACTCAAGACCTCAATTGCCTCTTCTATAAAACAGGAATAACAAGAGTACCTAGCTCAGGGAATTACCAAAATTAAGTAAGAGAACATACACAAAGTACTTAGATAAGTGCCTGGAAACTAACAAGTACTCAATAAATGTTGGCTACTTTTATCAGTATTCTTATTCTTTGGGGGGGGAGGGTGTACCATGTGTATTAACCCCTAATTAGAAAGTGATTTGATTTTTGTGTGTTCTCAAAGAAGAGTTTTAAAAGCTTTCTCTTCCAAAATAGTTAAAGTATTTAAAACCGTATCATATCATAATCACCACAAATTCCACACCGTTTACTTTTACTTCATTGCAAACAATATATTACAGCAAGAAAAATTTTTTCTTAAGAAAAGTTAAGGTAAAATAGTCCTTGATCAGCAATCTAGCCCTTGTTCCTAGCCTCTGTTCATATGTTCACACCCATATCCAAATACAGCTTTCGAAAGGTACCATGATAATCTAGGAAGAGTCACATGAAGAGATTTTGATTAGTAATAGCTACAAACATGCCTTTTGAAAATTACTCACCACAAACACTGGAAAATATTAATTTCACTGTGATTCATTCATCTAACACAGTTTTACTGTGTGTTTAGTCCAGAGAAAGCAAGAGTGCTTCCAACTTCCCTGGGAGGGCTGACGTTGACATTGGATAGAAAAGGACAGGTGAAAGTGGAACAGCAGAATAGGGAGGGTGCATTATGCATACGTATAGTTGCACGCCATGCTCAAGTACCATCAGAAGATACTAACCGATTTCTAAATAAACTTCTTGCTCACGTAAAAGGCCAGTCAACAAAATTCACTACACATCAACCACTATACTAAATTTCATGGGAAAAAAAGAACCTTAATCATCTTTCGTTCTCTCCTTTTTACCTTGCAAGAGGTTGTGGAGGCTCTGACAGAGACATGTCACTACTGGAGGATGCGCTTAGGGGACGTTCCTGTACTTTGTTTTCTTTGTCAGATTCTCCAGAAGGCTGATACCCCGGTCTGGTCTAGGAGAAAAGGACATCAAATTTACGTGACTCCTATCACAAAGACATACTGAGGGACTACAGAACACAAACACTAAGTCACTTCAGCTTTACAAAGATCATGAAATGTGGGGGCGTTTTCTCTTAAAATTGGTTCAAATTTAGTCTGTCTTAAGCAGCTATTACAATTAATAGCAAAATTAAGCCTGAAATCCAAGAAAGGCACCTAATACTAACCGCATAATTTCAAGTTTATAAACTCTTTTTAAACCTCAGTGTTTTCACCTAGAAATACTAGTAGCATTTACCTTCTCAGGGTTATGAGGATTTACTGAACCTTTAGCCTATAATGCCTTTAAAACAGTCTGTGGTACACAGTACATATTCAACATTATTCTTAAAAACAACAGCAATCCTCATACAATTATCACATACAGTAGGATATTCTCTAATTTCAGCACAGATCACAAAAGTAGGTTTTTATTAACATAATCTAACCTTCTGCTCAGTAATACAATGAAAACTAGGAAAGGACTTAACAGTAGTGATGAGAGGAACAGAGATTGCAACAGTCACTCTAGGAAGTGCTAACTGAGCACTTGTTTTCAATCGTGTTTATCCAATTACTCTCCAGATACAATAAATTTCATGAAAAGGTCAACATTATTACAAAGTTTGAGCATATGCCTGAGTATTACGAACGACAGCAACAAAATGACAAATAAGTTTTCCCTCATCATGAATGAGTTCTTTTTGCATTCCTGACACAACTATTACCTGTGTTTCCTGTGTAACATGTGGATGAGGCGGCTCTTCGAGCAAGGTCTTTTCTAGTAGCAGTTTGGAGTAAGTATCCTGCAGTCGCCTAGTTACTGATGGCTCGGAAGGAGGCATGTTTTTTACTTTAGTAAAGGCTTCTTTCTGTTTCCGATAGAGCTCCTGTAATCGTTTGTTCTTCTGCTCGGTGGCCTCCTTTTGAGCCTTCTTCTCTTCATTTTGCTTCCTTTTCCTTTCCTCCTGCTGTCTAACAATGTACTGTCGTACTTCATCTGTGTCATAGTGGCGCTTTTTGGAAATAACAGGGGGATCTTCATTAGCTGTTATTTTGTCAGGTTTTCTTTTTACGGGGCTGTGACTTCTAGGAGCTTGTACTGGGGCTGATGACTTCTGATTCTGTAACTCTCCTGTCTCTTGTCTTGCAGCCTGAACTGTAGAATCCAGCTGTAGATCATCAAGAATTCCACGAATTTCAAGAGGTAAAAAATCCTTATTTAAGGGAGTATTTTCCTCCTGTTTATTATCTGGAAGAGATGGAGCTAATTTCTTTGTATTATTTTCAGACCGAGCTCTACTTCTCGAACGTTCTGAGTTTCGTGGAAGATGTCTATGTGAAACATCCAATCTGGGATCAGATTCTGCTCTTCCAATATGGCCCCCTGCAAAGTATGAATTGTTAGCGATGTATTAAAATTCTATATTCACTCCTAAGATTTATCGTAGTGAGAGAAAAAAATTAGAGAATTTCACTTTATTTTAAACTCAAATTTAAATATCATATGAAATTGTTTAAAGAATATTATAGAAGGAAAGAAAACAGTTTTTTAGAAGAGAATAATTCCAACCTTTAAAAAGGACTATACATACTTGGCATTTAAAAAAGGGATTTTAACTATTTCTGAAATAAAGATAGCCCTTATTGTTGCCGTGAATATTTAACTATTAATAGAGTTACTATTTCGGGGCGCCTGGGTGGCTCAGTGGGTTAAGCCTCTGCCTTCAGCTCAGGTCATGATCTCAGGGTCCTGGGATCGAGCCCTGCATCGGGCTCTCTGCTCAGCAGGGAGCCTGCTTCCTCCTCTCTCTCTCTCTGCCTGCCTTCTCTGCCTACTTGTGATCTCTCGCTGTCAAATAAATAAATAAATTAAAAAAAAAATAGAGTTACTATTTCTCTCCCATGCAAATATTTAATATCACTATCTCTCTCCATCCCTAAACCCCTAAAACAGGTGTTTAAAACCAACAATGTTATGCTGCCACAACTCTCCGATAAATAACAGAAAAGAAATTAAATATATAGAAAAGCAATCATTTTATAATCTAAATGTCTGCTGATGTGACTTAATTTTAAACTGAGAATGGGTGTGAGTTTATTTACAAGCTAGAGGAGAGTGAAGAATAAATGCAAAGTATATACTGACTTCTATATATACCTAAATATAGTTGTAATTGCATTTCTTAATTTATCCATTCTTAGAAGCTCAAATTAATTGAAGCAAATTTTATTACTGGAAAGGAAAGCTGGCCTGTAGGTATTTGTATTTCATTTCCCAAAATTAGTGTTCATGAAAAAAGCAACTTAGTTATTTCAAAGAACATTTAAGATACTTCAAAAAGAGAAAAGCAATGCACTTGAGGGTCAAACCAAAGAGTTGTAGACCCTAGATCAAATTCTGCCACCCACTTAATGTATATACTCTTGAGAAAAATCACTTCTCTCTTGGGGCCTGTTTCCTAATCTGTCAAACAGAAAAACCCAATATTGTGAATGTGTGCCTATGTTGGTGTATACAGGTTTAAGGCAGATTGGACTTAATTCCCTTAAGCTCTCTGAAAGTCTTAGAAAATCTAATTAAATGATGCTTTTCTATTCCCATGGCAGCTAAATGTAATTAATATAACAAACAGAACTCTTAATAAAAGTCGCCATAACATCTATATATGGAAATTATCGATAGACAAGCCCAACAGAACATTTCTTCTTTTGTAAGCTACATCCACAATTAGAAACCAAATTCTTTTTTTTAATAAACCAAATTCTTAAAGCATTCTCAAAAAAGTACTTTCACCTTCTCCAAGAATTTACACAAGCAATTTTTAATTGCTATTCTCAACAATTTTAATTATTGAAATGATTCAATAATTTAATTACTCACCCAATTTAGCACTTCTTTCTCTTCCGCTTCTGTCACTTGATGCTGTTCTTCGCTCTTTTTGCTCCACTCTGGGTGCAGGCCCCAGGATCTTCTTTACTAGTTTTTGTCCATCTCGCCAAGAGGATGTACTTATCAGACGACTGTTACCTAAAAAATGATGTATACATAATGGGTTGAATTTAAAACTTCAAAATTATCTCTAACAAATTTATCTAGTCAACCATACAGATTTTGTAATTCATTTTATGCTTATCTTATGCCAAAGTCAAACGGTTTACAATCTAATTTTTAACACAATGTCCTGAAAATCAAGTATCAGTTTGTTTAAATCTTGATTTACCCACACATCTCAAGTAAGTGTAAAATGCTTTGAAAGTTAAATACCAAATATTAACAACTCCCAAAACCTCAAGTAGAGCACTGAATCCAACAGTTTGGGCACAGAACCAAAGTATGTCTTAATTGTAGTAAGGGTTTGGTTTACCAATTGTACCATTTTACATAGTAAAATGCATGTTTGCTTAATGAACAAATGACTTAATCTAAGCATAGGAAAAAAATCCAAAGAAACATGTAACAGTTAACAGTGATAACCTTTGAAGAGGATAGTATTACAGGGAATTTCACATTATATTTTATAGATACATACCAGAACTACATATTACCTTTTTATACATAAAACAATGATACTCAAAAAGCAAGTATCATCATTTTAAATTGCCCTCTTTATAAAAGTTCATAAAAATAAAAGTTCATAAAAATAAAAGTATGGTCCAATAAATACAGCTGTTGACTAGGAGAGAAACTTTTCACTTATTACTTTCAGATTGTAAAAAAATTAAAATTAGACCATCATACTCCAACACAAATGGAGTACTGTGTGGCTACTTTAAATTAAAATTTCCATAAGAAATTAGAAAAATGTTCTTGTGGTAAGACGCTAAGAGAAAAAGATAAAATGTTATGACTATAACGATTACGATCACCTATTATGATTTTAAAACTACTGTAAGGAAATAACAAAATACTAGTACTTTAAGTGAGGATAGTGGTTTTCTCTGTTTTCTTCTATTTTTCAAGCTTTCTATGATACTGTTTTATTGAATTTATAACAAAAGACAGAAATTTGCGCACCTGGGTGGCTCAGTCTGTTAAGCATCTGCCTTCAGCTCAGGTCATGATCCCAGGGTCCTGAGTCCCATATCAGGCTCCCTGCTCAGCAGGAAGTCTTTTTCTCCTTCTCCCTCTCCCCACCGCCCACTCCCTGCTTGTGTGCTCTCTCTCTCACCCTCTCAAATAAATAAAATCTTTTCAAAAAAAAATAAAAAGGCTTCAATTTAAAAGTTTAAGTTGAAAGTACAGTTTTAATGAAAATATCCTATATAAAGAAACATGAATCACAAATCTGTGTGTGCTATTTACTTTGTTTTTGCACCTTGTAATTAACCTTAAATGATCTATTTAAAATATTTAAACGGCTTTAAGTCTATTGCTGAATCTATTTACAAGAAACTTTATGTTCTTAAGCAAAATGAGAGAACAGGCTTCTCTTCGATTTCAGCTTAATTTTCCGAATCAAAAGCAAGCAACCACAAATATACTGGGTAGTTATTTATAAATGCTGGCTTCTGTATGTGCTGTGTGATTATTTCTAAATCCTGGCTTTCTGGAATAGTCTCACGCAGTCATTGGTAGAAAAAGAGGACTTTCAGTATAGATAAGCTATTAATATAATTTTAGCACACTTAATGACTCTCTGTCTCTTAGTTACTGCACAGTGCATACATGGGAATTAACCTACCACAAAACTGGTTAAATACAATACAAGATCACTATTGATAAGTTACAGCAGTCTCAATACTTCATTTCAAACTATGCCCCTGGCAAGAATATCAAATAATACATGAAAAAATCACTTTGTCATATTTTTTTTTCATGTAAAAACTAGTTTATATTCCAATAATTCATGTTCTTATAAAATTTTATTTTGGGGGGTGCCTGAGTGGCTCAGTCACTTAAGCATCTGCCTTTGGTTCAGGTCATGTTCTCAGGGTCCTGGGATCAAATCCCATGTTGGGCTCCCTGCTCAGCAAGGAGTCTGCTTTTCTCTCTCCCTGCTTTGCCTCTCCTCCCAGCTTGTGCTCTCTCCCTCTCTCTCTCAAATGAATAAATAGAATCTTTCTAAAAAAATTTTTTTTTAATTTTTTATTTGTATGTCATTCTGACATCTAGAGTTAACAATGAGTGTCACAAAATATGTTATTTGACGTTCTAAAGATTAGTCTATGATCAGAAAAACAAGTGCCTGGTTAAAAACCAGTGTCCCATCACTCCTGCTCTGTGTTCCCGTAAGACCTTGTAAAGTCACTATGATACATTTATCACATTTCATTATAGATGTATTTACTGTTTTCCTGACAAGACTGTAAGTTCCAAGAAGGCAGGGGCCATGTGTATGCTGCTTAGTACTGTATGGCCCAAGCTTAGTATAGCACAATGCTTCACATACAGCAAGTGCTCACTAATATCTGCATGATGAATGAATGTAAGAATCACTGATTCTGAATGTCTCCAAAATGAAAGTGACAAATTCCGAACTTCTACCACTCTCTCAGCCCAAATTATCCACTAACATGAATAGGACAGCTAAATAACCCTTTTCAGGATAACCAGAAATAATAATTATTATTAATGGAATCATATCTAACATCTGAGTGCTTACTATGTGTCAAATACTGAGTTCCTTTAGGTATTAACTATTTTAGTTTTCCCAACAACCCTGTGAGAGAAGTACTATTGCTTTCCCATTTTACATAGGGGGGAACCAAGGGACAATAAAATTCACTAACTCACCAAAGGAACAAAGCTAGATATGACAGGACTAGGCTCTAAATCCAGGCAACCTGAATTAGGCCTGGAGTGTTAATCACTATAAAACTAAAGAATTCTCCTTTTCCCTGTCCTAATCTATTTAGAGTCTGGCCTGACCACTACTGGTGTGGGCTGCCATGCTTTTCTTCTGCAACATTATCTTATGAGAATAAGTGAAGGGACTTAGTGACAGTTATAAGCAATCCCTTTATATATAAAAGTTCACGAAATAAAAATTATCTTTAATCTAGTTAATTTCAATTAAAAATAATGATACAAAAATGGGGGCAAGAGATGTGTTCAGTATTACGGTGAACATAAGGTTTCATGGGTAAATACTGACATGAAAAGTTATCAAACTAACATTCTAACTATGTACATCTTATTCTATGTCAGTTACACCTCAATAAAACACATATACGAAATAATGATACATAAAATGTACTGAATTTTCCTATGTGCCATTTGGTTAACAAACAATTATTTCCATATAGGATGCCATTTCAGTATTATGTAATTTTAGGGTGGACATGATATTGAGAAAACTAACCTGTTTTGCCTTCTGGACTTGATAACTGTGTTACCTTTTGGACTTTTCGTACTGGCTTAACCACTTTCTTCTCTCTACTTTTTTCAGCAGGTTTCTCTTTCGTAGAGATATCATCTGAAAAGCAGAAACACTTACAGTAAATACCTTAATGATTTCTACCCACCCACTCATCCTCTCCCCAGTAGAAAAAATCAGTATAAAGTATATGATTCAGGTAGGGAGGAAAAAAACCTTCGCTGAGGCTATTTCTGTGACCCATAAGCTACCAATGCCAACTCCTTAAATGGAAGGGTCTAAAGATTACCGCTACCCATACTACTGGGTTCTAATTCTTTATTTTCTTTTTCATTTTTGTTTTTTCTTGTTTTATTTTCAGAAAACCCTTGAAAAATTTACCTCACTTTCATGAACTGGAAGAAGCTATAAAAGTAATGCTTTCCAAGCCAGGGTCATATCATTTATATCACAGGTGAGCACTTTCACAGATTTCTATTTCACTTAAAAATTCCTATGTAGGGGCACCTGGGTGGCTCAGTGGGTTAAAGCCTCTGCCTTTGGCTTGGGTCATGGTCTCGGGGTCCCGGGATTGAGCCCCATGTCGGGCTCTCTGCTCAGCAGGGAGCCTGCTTCCCCCCTTCCCCTCTGCCTGCCTCTCTGCCTACCTGTGATCTCTGTCTGTCAAATAAATAAAAATAAAAATCTTTAATAAAAAAAATTCCTATGTAACTAAGATATTCATAAACTTCTAGAATAAAACTTTATAAAATGCTCAATGTAATATTCCCAAATAATGCCAAGGTATTTCATATAGAAATTACTAATCACTGGGCACCTGGGTGGCTCAGTGGGTTAAAGCCTCTGCCTTCGGCTCAGGTCATGATCCCAGGGTCCTGGGATCGAGCCCCACATCAGGCTCTCTGCTAGTCGGGGAGCCTGCTTCCCTTCCTCTCTCTCTGCTTCTCTCTCTGCCTACTTGTGATCTCTCTCTCTCTCTCTCTGTCAAATAAATAAACAAAATCTTAAAAAAAAAAAAAGAAAAGAAAAGAAATTACTAATCACTGATTTTTTTAAATTCCAACATAGGGGAAGAGACTAGCTATACATATAAACTTAAAAATCAACCTCAATTACAGATCTGAAGAACTGTAAACTTAAAATACATATAGAGCTCTGCATTCCAGGCAAAATGGAAGTGTGAGTAAAAGCCCTAAAGCAGGTGTATATCTGAGAAACAGCAAGCTGGCCAGTGTGAGTAAAATGAACAAAGAGAAAAGTAGAAAGAACTAGAGTCCAAGACATAATTGAGGGCCAGATTGTGTTGGGCTTTACAAGTCATCCTAAGAACTTCAGGTTTTACCTAAGAATGAGATTGAGAGGTTTCTGGAAGTTTGGGGGCAACGGAGTCATATGATCTAAATTAAATTTTAACAATCTTCCTCTAGCAGCTGTGATGAGAACAGATGAATTAGGACAAGGAGAAGCAGAAGACCAGTGAGAAGGCTACTGCAATAATCACGCAAGAGACTCATGGTGGCTTAGACCTAGGGAGTAGTGACAGAGGTGGGGAAAGTCATTATATTTTTAAATATATTTCAATAACATGAAATATAAGGTCTGTGAGAAATATGGGAGTCAAGGATAACTCAAGATTTGGGTCCTATCCCCCTGACACTAATATATTATATGTTAACTAACTGAATTTAACTTTAAAAAAAAAAAGATTTGGGGCCTAAACAAATAGAAAGATAGGATGGAAGGACTATCAGAGAAGTAGGTTTAAGGGGTGTATCATGACCCCATTTAGTTAGTTAGCTCCATTTTAAATAAAGTTTGAGAAACCCATTATACAACCAAAGGGAGATGGGAGTTAGTAGCTGGATACAACTGAGTTCAGAGAACTCTAGCCTAGAGACATATATTTAAGAATCATTGACAACAGGGGCACCTGGGTGGCTCAGTGGGTTAAGCCTCTGCCTTCGGCTCAGGTCATGATCCCAGGGTCCTGGGATCCAGTCCCACATTGGGCTCTCTGCTCAGCAGGAAGACTGCTTCCCTTCCTCTCTCTCTGCCTGCCTCTCTGCCTACTTGTGATCCCTATATGTCAAATAAATATATAAAATCTTTAAAAAAAAAAAAAAAGAATCATCGACAACAGAAAATATTTAAAGCCCTGA